AGCAAAGGATAAACCCACCTCAAACAAGAAGATGTTTTTACCAAGCAGAAAGATAGCACAGGCAAACAAGTCAGTAGATGTTGCAAGTAGAAAAAAGGTCTCAGAATTTTCCACTGCAAGAAAACTGAAAAACAACTTATAGCTTAAACTGTAATGTACTAATTTCTAGTGATTGGAGAATAGTAACATGAATATGGTAATTATAGTAGTTATGATAGGCTGTAGATAAAAGTTAAGTTATAGATTGGTTCTACTGTATTAAGATGCTCAGCAAAGAAAAGTAAATAATGCATCTGTAACCTAAACTAAGGGTCTCCAGGCCCGCCTGCAGATGCAACTGACAGCTGTAGGCACAGGCTCTGTCTCCCATGACCCTGGACTGCTGTAACGTCTTGGATGTAATAAACTGCATTTTGAAGAGCCACCTGGAGTCCCACATCTCTCATTACAGCTCTTACGCCTTATAATATTTCTGCATCTCTCTGATTCCATCAGTGGAGATCTTTTCACTGATTTCAGTAGCCACTGGGTTTGGATCATTGTCTGTAGCAGAGTGGTTGACAAGCTGAAATAATTGGAAAAAATACTTACTGAAGTTTTCCATTTCAGGGGCTTACAGGAAAAAAAAGAGAACTGTGAAGAAAATAATGGCCTTGTGTGGAATGTGTGGAGAAACAGGGTTTCCAGGCTTCATGGGGTGACGTTCTCTATCTTGTGTTAGCTCAGAGAGTGGGATGAGCATTATGGCTATTCAGAAAACCTTCCTGGGAATGATGTTGGCACAACAGTGCATGAGCCCTGAGCAGAATAGTCAGCATCCCCTTTGCTTCTTCAAAAGTTGTTTGGTGGAAGCACCAATAAAATCATCTCTAAAAAGAAAACCTCTCCTGACAAGAGCTTTCACTGTATGACCTGTTTGGCTTTTTTCATTAGTCACGTTTGAAATGCATCTTATCAAGAAATGGAATAAAATCTCATACTTTCCACTTCAAGGATGGAATTCTACAAAATTCTGTTAAATACATTAATGACAGTGGTGGTGATATTCCATTAGAAACAAGCAGTGAAAGTGCCCCTTAAGTTATATCCTCAGCATTTTAGATATGTTTTGGGGACTGTTCTTCAAAGCCCATTTTAATAATTCAGTATCCTCTCTAGAAAGTTTATATTTCAAGATGAATTCTCACAAGTTCATTGTGTTTGGCAAACTATTCTGAAAATAAAGCAGTCACAGAAATTGGTGAGGTGAACCTCCACATTGCCAGGAATAGTCTTTCTCCCCAGGGAGTGTTGGGTTTTCCAAGGAAGATATATCTATCACCAGCAGACTTTCCTCAGCCCTCCCCCCGTACTTCAGCCTGCTGCATGGTTGGGAATATTGCTTCTCAGATGGCTTTAAAACACACATGGCAACAAAGAAGTAGGGGAAGGCTTAGGACCTAACATTGTTCAAGAGCCCTACAGTTATACAGAGGATGGCAAAGAGGACCTGGGGGAGAAGGAAATGGGAATAGTTTGCTTACTTTGGCACAGAGTTCCCAGGAGGATATCTCCTTACACAGCAGTGTTTTAATAGGAAAGCGATTTTTCTTTGGATCCATCAGGAATTAGCTAACAGTTCAATTCTGCTAGGAAGTAGTCTAGGCTTTCAGTATAGATTTGGTTTTGATAATAGCTTAATCAATACTAAAGAAGCATTCTGATTATCTAGTAACTACTAGAGATTTAGGGAGATCCCTTGTTAATAATTTTTCTCCCTTGGATGTTGTTTTTTTTTTTCTTAGTCCCTGCAGTTGACAAACAAGGTTAAGGGATTCACCGATGAGGAAAATATTGAAATCACTGTAGGTTTTTTGTTCTTTCTCACTGTCTTAGACTATACGAGAGACTTCTTGTCCTCGTATTCCCTTAGTTTTAGACAAGCTTTTGAGATCTTTGTTTTTTGTAGCTAAGGTCTGCCTTCCTGCAGACAAGATAAAAGATAATGTTGTTATTGTTCTGTGTCCCAGACCTTGTCACTCCCCTGAGCCTTCCCCCCTCCCTTTTCTTCTAACCAACATAATCTCCCATTTTTCATTTGGAGAATGACAGATTCAAGAGTATTATAGGAAATGCAATGGAGCAAAAGTTCTCACCAGAATTTTGCTGCTAATATTGTTGAGCTAAACCTCTTTTGGTGTGGATATTAGTAAATTTCAGCAAATGAAACTTGAGGTGTTGTGAATATAGAGTATGCTACTTTGTTGCAGGCAGTGGTGAACATCTTTTTCTTTAACTCCTACAGCTGTATTTTCAATTTAGGCCTTTGTGTTATTGTGCTTTGTTTCTCAGCTATGTAAATACATAATATGTGTGTACTTCTATCTTTTTATGGCTAAATCATGGTACAGGATCAGAATTTGGGTTTCGAGTTGCTTTTGCCTATATTGTATCAAGGAAATTCTACAAATATGCGAAATACATGTAAGTCTGTGTGACACTGCAGCATTTGGGGCAAGAAAAGTGCTTGGATTCAGTTTCTTTTTAACGACAGTTCCTCAGTACAAGAGATCTCTGGGTATGAGTGTTTTGAAATCAAAAGAGATGGGACACAGAACATGTAATACAGTTGTGCTTAGCTGTTCTTGAGGATTTGAGGTGCTTTTCAAAGCAAATTCCTCATCCTACATAGAGCAAGGTTTGTATTTTGTGAGGATTTTAGCTTAGTTATGACAGTAACTGAGGTGGTTTCTGTTTGCAAATCAGTATTTACACTTGGATACGTCCACCATGGTGGAAATAATACAAACATAATAATGGTAGTCCATACTCCAGTAGGCTAACGTATAAAACCATGGCTTGATTGATCATATTGCTTTACATTGGAGCTTTACATGCTTATGTGAATAGCATGCAGATGAAACATGAATAAATGAAAAGTAGGCACATTTAGGAGACAGGTTGTTTTTATTACAATGCAACTGTGTACATACAATTTGCCTTAGTATGGAGAACAGCTACATAATCATTATGCAGGTCCATATTCATGATATTCATGTAGCAGAAAAGACCCTTGGGTGTTTTTCTTCTTTCAGTATGTATGTGTATGTGTATGCATGATGTCGTGTACCTCTGAGTGAAACTACAAGAAGTTCTTTTAGAAATGGATGGTCAGAAACTAAATTAAGCCAAACAAGGGAAACGTTGTATCTGAGAACTGTTTATTGGTAATTAAAAAAAAAAAAAAAACAAAAAACAAAACAAAACAACAAGATGTTGCCCGAACGAAAGAGGGTTGGAAAAGAGAGAAAAGAAGGAAGGAACATGGAAAAGCAGCAGGGAAAAGGCGAGGGAGAGAGAGGGAGAGGAGAGAGAGAGGAAAAGAGGACGTTGCCTCCTGCGACTCAGGGGGAAGTGCCTGTGTCCGGGCGGCGGGCGGTGTGTGCGCTGCCTGCCCGTGCAGGGTTGGCTCTTAACGAACCTGCGCAGCTTCACGGGCGCGGCTCCCATGGCGACGGCGCCAGACGCGCGGAGTAGGCGCTCCGACCGGAGGGTCATGACCCTGGACAGGGTCGGAGCGAGCATCGCAGTGGGCTGCTCGATAGGAGCAACCGGGTTGGACACGAGTAGCTGAGGCAAGGATGCGCGGGAGAAGCGGCAGGGCGATGATCAGGGACACAGAGAGGCAGGACAGGAGCGAGGGCGAGCAAGAGCCAGCGAGAGCAGAAGAGCCAAAAGGCAGGCTGGGGTCAGGGCAAAGGAGGGAGCGAACAAACCAGCAAGGGCACAGCAGCGGGCAGCAGCGAGCCCCTCAGCAGGCTGTAGCCAAAGGTAAAAAGCAAGTCTCAAAAGCCCCCAGCCAAAAGACAAGTCCCTAGAAAGACACAAAAAGTGTAAACCCAAAAGCCCCCCACTGCTCGTGGTGCAGTTACTTTTTATCCTGTCTGGCTCTTCCTAAGGTCTGCCTGCTGGCAGGAGACCATTGGCCCAGTCCAACCTTCCGTGGCAGTCCATTGGTGGAGACCTTTCATTGTCTGATTGGAGAAGCCTCTCTGGGGAGTTCAGTGTCTCCTACTGACTGTCTCATGGGAGGAGATGAAGTCCCATGTTGCCAGGTGAAGTCATCCCAGAGACAAGGCTTCTTCAAGTTGCCTCCTGCATGTGGCAGATGTGCAACCTTTCCCCCTTGTGCCCCTGACAATCAGTGTTGAGATAAATCAAAGCTAAATTGGTTCCTCACACACAGATAAATAATTATGTTTAAATTAATTCAGGAAAAGTTCATGAAAATTTTTTGAAAAGAGTGGATGAAAGCACTGATTAAGGGTGTTGTAGAAGTGATGGGAATCTCTTGAAGTAAAATGAGCTTTGCTGTAAGTATGATTGACCACTGCTTTGCTTTTCACACTCCTAATGAGCATGTGGTTTGCCTGCAAACCATGGCTAAAAGGCATGAAGCCACAGACAACTATTAAAATGTTTAGATTCCTAGCTTGTAAATATTGCATTTCTCACGGAATTGGAGTGAAATCCAGGCTTATATTTCATGTTCATCCACTTCAAATCCATTGGGATGCAGCATTTGTGAAAGAATCAATTATCCATTTGTTAGTCGGGGGAGCTTTACAAATTATACATTAGCAGATTGATTTCTCAGGTTTACCATTGGGGGACTGATTGTATAAGGTGGGTTGATGATGAGTGTCAGGGGAGAAGGGGTTGCCACAAAGAACACAATTAAAAGAAGCTTTCTGAGTGGCCATGAATTTACTCCTAATTGAAGAGCTGACTTAATCCATAGTAAGAGCATTTATTTCAAGCATTTTACATTAGGTAATTGATTATCACATGAGGTACATTTGCTGCTAGATATTTGATTTTCCTTTCCTTTAAATTTAGGATTTTGCAAAAGTCTGCATTTAGATCTTTATGTGCAAGGTGTCTGCTAGCTTTCTCTCCTGCTACCTAAACTTCTGTTTCATCCATTAAGGTAATTTTTTTTTTTTTTTTTTTTTCTATAGTGTCAGCTTGACACTATTGATTTTGAACAGTCAAACTTACTTATGTTGTCCAGAATTCCAAACATGTCTCCATCAGAAAGAAAACTGCAGCTAATGGAAATTCAGCTGAAGGTATTTATTCCTTCTTTGCTGGTACTTCAAAAGTGTATGAAATTCTGAAGCTGTTCCCAGGTAAATAATTTAAGTGTATTTCCATTCCTAACTAACAGGATCCAATGTATTGCCAAATTTGAATTATGTTGCTTGAGAAATTCAGTGTGTATTATTATCACTTATACAGCACTGGAAGTATCATTCTGATCACAAAGTAGTTGTGTATTTTTACTTGATTGGGCTAATGCTAGGGGTTGTGATTAGGTAAAAAAATATTATCCAATGTAGTGCTAATAAAATAATAAATAGTAGTTTTTTCAACATTTCATATGCAGGTGCCTCTGGTTTTATGGCATGAGATTTAAGTTTGATCATCTCTGTTATGTGTTCTAAATTTTAGATTCTTTTACATGTTGCAGGTTTTTTCCAACACACATTTAAAATACCTTTACAACAGTCAGGTTACCAAACCCCAGTGTGTATCATGGTTCCAACTGTATTAAATAATCAGTCCTTCAAATTATGATGAGTTAGTGACTACTTTTGTCTTCTCTAACCTTGAGTGATTCTTCATCTTTTGTAGACATGTAAAGGTAGATCGTGCAGGAGGGGCATTTATTCCTTTACTGTAAAATCCAAAGCCTGTTTTCTTTGGTCAGACAAATAAACTCATCAGTGGGTTAGCTGGACAAAGCTTTAAAAAAAAGAAAGGGAAAGGCAGTTTAAACTTCATGCCTGAGTTTATAACATTTAATAAAAAAATGAAAAATAAAAGCAAAGTGGGAGGGGGTGACCCACAATATTATTTGCGTTCCTCCTTTCTAAAATATCAAAATTATCCACAAGGTGTTGAATGTAACTAAATGCAATTAATTTTGATGCAATTTAATTTAATTAACGCAATTAAATTTGAAATAGTAAAGTAAATTTGAAATAGTAAATAACTTTGCTGACTGGCACAGAAGTATATTTAAACAAATGACGGTTATGAAAAGAAGAATTGGAGCTGATTCTGGAAGAAACACTTTGGTTTAGATAATACATGTACCAATTTTATCTGTGGTTTTTTCTTTCTGATTTCCGGGATAGGTTGAGATCTTGATTCTCAAACAGCTTTCCAGTGGAACATAGTTCTGGAAATCATAAGCTTGACTGTTATTTAACTCTGAACAAGAAGAGTCTGGTATTAGTGTTCTTCCTGAAACTTTCTTTTAAAATGCGTGTAATATTCAATGTGGATTATCATGATCTATCATTATTTTCTGAGCTTCACAGAAAGTTCTGACTTGTAATGTCAGTGAACAGGGTAATAGTCAATGTGCTAGTTTGAATTGAGTACAGAAAAAAATTTAGTCTGTGTTTGCTTTGCCTTGTGTATGTCATTTCCTGTCGAAACTTAGCTGGAGGTTTGTGTAAATGAGCAGGTCTCTTTTAGTTTAATTTAGTTGTTTTCCCTGATTGTCATCTGTGAATGGTACAGCCAGAAAAGAAAAAATAATAGGAGAAAGAAAAAGTTAATAGCAACTGATGGAGGTGTTGGGTGTGCAGAAGGCTTGTAACAAATTGCTACTTATAATATATATGCCATTATGAAATACTTTATCATCGAATTTCTGTTTAGAAATAGAACAAGTCTGGAAATATTGTGTGCTATTTTGAATGTGGGAAAAATGCAAATGCTCTGGAGTCACCCTTGTTTTCTACTGACAACATTCTATAATCCTAGAATCACAGCATGTTAAGAATGCAAAGATTACGTAGTCCTGATCTCCCCTGCCATGGGCAGGGACTCCTCCCCCTAGACAAAGTTGCTCAAGGAGTTATTCAGCCTAGCTTGGAACAGTATCAGGGTTGGGATATCCATAACCTCTCTGGGCAACCTGTTCAGTGTCTCACCACACTCACAGTATATAATTTCTTCCTAATATTTAACCTAAATTTCTCCTTTTTAATTTGTACTCGTTACTCCTTGTCTTATCATTGCGGTTCTTGATGAAGGGTCCCTCTCCAAACTTTCTTGTAGGTCCCTTTCAGGTACTGGAAGTTGGCCATGAGGTCTCCATGCAACTTTCTTTTCTCCAGGCTGAGCAGCCTCAGCTTTCTCAGCCTGTCTTCATAAAGGAGGTACTTCAGTCCTCTTACAAATTTCATGACCCTCCTCTGGACTTGCTCCAACAGTTTCATGTCCTCCTGATGTTGGAGACATCAGAACTGAATGCAGCACTCGAGCTGAGATCTTGCATGAGCAAAGTAGAGTGACAGAATCACATCCTTTGACCTGCTGGCCACATTTCTTGTGATGCAGCCCAGAACTTGATTGGCTTTCTGAGCTATAAGCACACACAGCTGGCTCGTGTGGAGTTTTTCATCACCTCTCACCCACAAGTCTTTCTCAGCAGGACTGGTCTCAATCACTTCTCTGCCCAACCTATTGGTGTGTCTGGGATTACAGTGACCCAGGTGTAGTGTTGGCAATAACGAAAGATGGGGACTCCGTGAAATGGTCAAGGAATCCAAATTTATTGTGAAGTATAACTGCTTATATACTTATTCTAGGAAGGCTAGGAATGTTTTACTACCAGGATTGGGTTAATCATCACATAAACAAACTTATGCATTTTACAATATCTCTTGCATTTTACATCTCTTGCTTGTACAGTTTGATGTAATTTTCTTTTTCCAGTACGCCCATCTGATTTAATCTTCTTGCAATCTTGATTTAATCCTCAAAGTTCTGTTTGCTATTGTCAAGGCATCTTGTTATCAAATCTCTTATGCTAACCAGGTCCAAAGTCCATAATCTGTCTTGTGTGTCCCAATAGTGTAGGACCTTTTTCTTTGCACTTTGCTTCATGAGGTTTGCTTCAGCCCATGTCTGTCAAGGTCCCTCTGGATGCCATTATCCCTTCCCTCCATCATGTCAACTGCACCACACAGACTGGTGTCATCAGTGAACTTGCTGAGGGTGCACTTGGTCTCACTGTCCTTGTCACAAACAAGGATGTTGAACAGTATTGGTCCCAGTATGGACCCCTGAGGGACACCGATCACTGGTCTCCATGTGGACAATGAGCCATTACCCCAGACTCTGTGTGTGTGGTTGTCCAGCCAGTTCAGTATCCACCGAGTGGTCCATCCATCAAATCCCTGTCTCTCCCATCTGGAGACAAGAATGTCATGCAGGAGTATGAAACACTTTGCATTTAGTCCAGGTAGACAATATCACTTGCTCTACCCCTGTCCACTAACACTGTAGCCCTGTCATAGAAGGTCACCAAATTTGTTAGGCATGATTTTCTCCTTGTAAAACCATTTTGGCTGTTACCAGTCATCTGTTTGTTGGCCAGGTACCTTAGCATGGTTTCCCGTAGAATTTGCTGTGTGACCTTGTCTAGCACAGAGCTGAAACTGACTGGTCAGTAGTTCCCCGTAACTTCCACTTTTCCCTTTTTAAAAATGAGGATTATATTTCACTTTTTCCAGTCATCAAGGACTTCACCTAACACAATTTTTCAAAAAATTATGGATAGTGGCTCAGCAACTTCATCTGCCAGCTCCCTCAGGACCTTCAGATGAACCTCGTTGGGTTCCATGGACTTGTGCACATTCAGGTTCCTTAGATGGTCTCAAACCAGATCCTCTCCTACAGAGGGCTCAGGATCTTCATCCTCACAGTCCCTGCGTCTGCCTTTCTTGACTTGGGTGGCATGGCTGAAGCACTTGCCAGTGAAGACAGAGGCACAGAAGTCATTGAGAACCCCAGCCTCCTCTTCATCCAGGGTAGCCAGGTCTCCTATTTTCTTCCCACATCTTTTGTATCCCTAGTCTGTCTTTTGCTTGCCACATACCTGTAGAAGCCCTTCCTGTTATCTGTAGTATCCTGCAGGAGAGGTTTTGCCTTGCTGAGCACTTGTTAGTTACCTGAGTACAATGACACATTTAATTTCCAAAGTATTGCCATATGGCTTTCAAACCACGTCACAACAGATAAATTCCATCATCCTGATCCTCGTTTTCAACGTTTATGTAAAGATAGCTTATGTAATCCACTTTGCCTATTTTCTACACTTTATTTTTTCAGGATCAAACTTTATCAAAGCCATTTGACGGGAAAATAGGAATAGTGTGGACTGTAGGATTGAGCCATCAGCTCCTCTGGTGTGTCTTGGTTTGTGTAATTTTGTTTTGGTTTTTGTTGCAGTAGTGTCTCCAACAAGGCCCATCGCACTGGAGCGCTGCCAGATCTGCTGATGCTGTGATGTCAGCCTGATGGTGGATGTAGGTGCTGGAGTGATGAGAAGAATATGACCAGTTGAACACTGTACTTTAGTGAATGACCCTGTGCCAAGACAGTACTACTGAAGATAGACATTTTGTCTTTGCAATTGCAAAATAACAAATGAAGAGAAGAAACTTAGTGAGAAAGTTGTGGCAATGGCAACTTAGATGCAGCCCAGAACAAAAAAAACCCCATGTCACTTCAGTCATAAACTCAGTTAAACTTTCTATGCTTGTGCTTTCAGAAGGCCAGAGGTGTTCCTGGTAGTAGAGGGAATGATGCAGACGTGCTAGCTTTTTCCCCATGCCCATCCCTAGAGAGAGGCAGTCTTCTCTTGCACTTTGATGAGAAAAACAGAAATTTAGAAAAGCATTTTTCAAGGCAAGGCAGGAATAAAAGTTTATGAAGATTTATGCTGTTTATGAAGATTCTAGAAAGTCAGACTGACAACTGATACATCTTGCCTTACTCAGCATCCTCCAGTCTTGGAATTAGCAAATTTTATGTGTAATATCTGAGAATAGAGCTTTTACAAGGATGTTGCCACATCATGAGGTTGATGGGCTTGATCTGTACTCCTCTGCTGATACCCCCTAAATGTGACAGGAGGAACACAGCTGTAGAATGTGCACCAGCTGCCTGCACTGCTAGTCATGCACTGGTGTCTGATCTTGAAATGTAGCAACTCAGCATAACAAGTCTGTGGCAAACAAAAATACTTCTGGAGCACATAAGTCAAGGAAAATTGGTTTAAATTCCCAGTGAACTTCTTTGCAACACACCGTGGAAAGACCACTTTGTGTTAGGCAGCAATTGCAATATTTCCAGGTGCCATTTCATGGTGTGCCCAAGAATTACATATTCTGCGCACAAGAAAGCAGGAAAGCAAAAGGGCAGTGTAATTTTCCCAACTCATCAGACAACAATGGCAGTGCAGTGTTCAGTTGTTGAATCAACCTTGATTATAAAAAAGCTTCTACAAAATATTATTTGGGCATATGCTATTTTGAAAGTGGATGAGAGGAAAGCTTCCTTTCTCTGATTTGGAATTTGTTGTGTGTGTGAAAGATTATGGGGGGAAAAGGGTGTGAAAACATCTCGGTTTATCTGCTATAGAATAGCCCATGTGGACAGTGTGTTTTTATGTACTTATTATGTACATTTAATACAATTCCAACTGCCGTAGCATATATAAGGACCTGTGATACTTCATACACAGTTGTGTAGCATTTAATGTGGTCCTATAACTCCAGTGCTCTTCCAGTGACACTTTATTTTTACACAAACATATGATGGATTTCTTTTATCATGCTCAAAACCACAGGAGTGGTTGGTCTAAGCTGTGGTTCAATCCATTCAATTCAAACTTGTGGTTCAATCCATTCAATATTTTATGAGAATAAGAAAAGTGGTTCTTAAAAATGTGAGAGACTTACAGTGTGAAGATCCTTCAGTGATTCTTGAAATGATGAGCTATTTGTTATAGAGGGTGAAATCAGAATCACGGTACATAAGAAGTTTCTTGGTACCTGAATATAATTGAATTGGTTTTTGTATGCAAGAAGATAAGCATCAGGGTATCCAAATGATGTTATGAGTAAGTCCTCCATACCTCAGGGATGAGTAGCTGTTTAAGCTAAGTAAACAGTAGCAGATACTGTCTAACCCTGTAGGTTAGAACCAAAAGTATATTTGGATAGGGAAGGGAAGATGTATTAAATCAGGATGGTTTTCAGGCTTTTCTCTGTATTTGTCTAAGAACAAGTAAACCTATGTTGCAATTCAATACCTTCAATACCTTAAAAGTATTTTTTCCTTGTTTTTGTTCTCTAGAGCCCAGTGAAGATAAATCAGATCAGCCTGGATGAAAGTGGAGAACACATGGGTGTTTGCTCAGAAGATGGGAAGGTACAACAAATCTCTTTATATATTTGCTGAGGCAGCAGGTAGTCCTAGTATTATACTAGAATAATTGTGATAACCTGTGGAGTTGATTCCTGCATTGAGCACCACTACTTTGACCATACATTTTGAGGACTGAACTCACCTTTGAATACTCAAAATTAAAGTCAAATATATTTTGCACAAATATGCTGTAGGAAAAGTAATTACAAGAATGTCAATAATGTAACTGCTATTAAGCTGATTAACAGCTCTGACAGGAGGACATGTCAACTTAATCATTACTGCTGTGCCAGTTATACTTCAGTGACTACTCTGCTGTTCCTGCAAGACAGTAGTTTAATGCCTTTCTTCTATAAATCAACAAAATTGGATTTTGTGGACATGATTTCTGTGGGCTGGTGGTTTTCATTTTCACACACTTTATGAATGTTTCTCTTGAATTACAGAATCTTTTGATAAACAATCATAGTTTATCAGAAGAGCAAAGTGTCTTACAACAGCCACATTAAATAAATGTAAAGTCAATATATGTACAGTTTCCTAAAAACCTACTTCATTGGCTGAGGACATGTATCATTTGTGTAGTGTATAAGTAGCAATTATCAGTGCTTCGCTGGAATGTTGAGCTGTGACATTCAGTGGTTTTGGTGATTGATTTTCCAGTTATAAGAATGTCTTCTTGTTTTTTCAGTGGATGACAGTATTTTCTAATGTTGGTTTGCAATGATAAAATTCTAATGCACAGAGTGTATTTAAGCTTCTTTTTTAATACACTGCCCATATACCAATGCAGTGCATTAAAATAATTTCCCAATATCCAGCTTACTTCTCAGGAGAACATTCCTTACACAGTAGACTTCGGGGAGGAAGAGTGTTGGTAATCCTAATGCTGCATTCAGTTGAAGTTCTTTAAATTAAAATACAGCTGGAACTTGCAATAGGAAAAATGGGGAAACAACCTCTTTAGACTGTATGCATTTGGGTTTTTTCCTTCCAAACAGAGTTTTTTGTCCCTCAACAGGCAGGCAGCCAGTTGTTGTATCCAGGCCTTTTATTTCTGAGATATATCTTGATGTCAGTATCTTGGCACAGTAATTAGGATACTAGTACCTATCAAAGCGGTTATAGAATTTTACATCTCATGTGAAACACCACAAGGGTATCCTATTTGTCTAAGCAAGATAAGGCAAGGGTCAGTAATTGTGCAAGCTAATAAAAATGTTGAGCTAGCATTGTTGGTTTAGGTTTTCCTATGGTGTTGGGGAGCAAGCACTTACTGTAAGGGCTCCTCAGATGTGACTGTGGATGACTGTCGGTAATCCACTATGCTGCGGTGAGACTGCAAGCCATACACGTTTTTTTTCGTATACTAAGATAATATTAAATATACTTATTTAATTTCAGAAATACTGAAACCCCATAATCTCTACTCTGGTGTGGTTCTATTTGAAAGGACTTTGATACTTTAAATGGTTACTCTGTCTTCATTTATTGAAATAGCAGTTGTGGATCCAGTGTATGACATTACATACTATACAAGGCAGTCTAAAATACAGTCCCACAGCCACAGGGAAGGAATATCACAGGTACAATATTCAGTATATTTGCGTTCATAGAGTCCAAGGACATTGGTGCTTCACCGTGTTCTACACTTGTGAAAAACTCATCTGGAGATTTAAAAGATCTGGTATTTTAGAAGGCAGATTTTCCACATGATCCAGAAAGGCTCATGTCTGTGAAGTAATCCACCCCTAAAATTTATTAAAATAGTTTTATGTTGTGCTGCTGTATAAGAAAATGGCAGATTCTTGGCCAGATAATGTAGCTCTTACAGATTCTGGTCGTAACAAAAGTGTAACTTTCATTCCTTACAGCTCTTACCTTACTGCAGTGGGAGTGTTGATATTGTAAGCAGTTAAAATACTTGTGCAAATAGTTACAAAGTTTTTATTAACTTGATTAAGTATGTAAAAGTGGTGAAACCCTTTTTTTAAAAAAATAAGGGGGGAGGGGGGAAAACCAGTGAAGCAGTACAGTAAAACACTTTAGGTTTTTTTAATCAGTTTTAAACAAAAAAGCAGATGTAATGAAGAGGCCTGGGAATTTTGAGTTAGCTGCAAATATATTCTACCAATTAATGAAGATATGTTCTCTTTTGCTATAAGCAGAGCGCATTTTCATGTATCAAAGTGGATCCAGTATGATAGAGATGGAAACAATTTATTTTCTTCAGGAAGGCCTTATGATGAGAACCTCCACCTCCTCGTATCTGTTCTGCTGGCCTTTTATATCTACATATTTTATTTTACTACTTTTTTGTTTTCTGTCTCTCAAACTAGATTTGATCTAGCTGTACAGACTGGGGGGAGAGCACAGAAGCACAGTACAATTTTCTAAATCCTCTTCTTGACAGTCATTGTCCACACCCAATGTCAGAATCTGTTGCATGTATGTCATACATGTGCAACAAATTCTTTGGGAGCCACTTGCAGCTTTTCTGTACTATGCATTTGATTCTTTGAAAACCTTCCTTTCTAATGAAGTCAGCTGCAGCTGATCACCACTGGCATGGAAAGGGGCAGAAATCATAACCAGCACCAGCCCTCTAGTCTAGCTGCTGGATGTTAAAGTGTTAGGGTATAAGAGAATTTTGGTGCTCAGATAAATACAAAAGGAAGCAGGCTGGCATCCTCAGAATTTTGGAGATTTATAGATTAGTTTTTTTGTGTTAGTTTTGTATGTAGTTAATTGTATACTATCATGAAAAACCTGGATATGACTCCTGATTTTGCTAAAACTTCCATGTCATTACATAAGAAGAATGTAATTGGCACTCTTATTCTGGCTTGTAACTTTTTTTATATGAAGAAATATAAATTATATTGAAAACCCATGTGCTTGTGTGTTTTAGTGTCATCTCTAATGCCTGTAACAACATTGATGTTAAGAATATCCATTAATTACATTGGTATTACATTAATAATTTTTCAAGAAATGTGACTTGTTTTCCTGCCTTTTGGTCACTGAAGGTTCCTTACTTTTTCCATATGTGGAAGCAAAGAAGCAGCTAAGTCCAGATGCACTGGAGTGGTGGGTTCTGGATATTTAAAATCAGACAGGACTAGCAAAATGTAGTGGAATCGTAAAATCCTTTTTCCAGCTGCCTAAGCGTCCTGAACAGAGTGGGCATGGAAAGTAAAAATAGATAAATACAGTATAGGTTTGTAATAGCAGAAGAATCACTTTCTTTCTGAAGAATATGAGACATTAAGAAGTAATAAACTGTTAGATGATGTCCCTAGAGTAAACATGATAACATCTATTTTTTGCAGAATTGTTTTTTCCTCTTAGCTCACTCCATGTTGTTGTAATACTCCAAAAGAAATATCATATTGCCGTATTCAGTGATATATTAGGAAAACGTTGAAGGCACTGTTGCTAATTTTTGATTAATTACTTTTAATTTGAGAGAGCTGTCTTGTAATATTTGAGGATTCTGCTTTCACAGAATTTGCAGTGTTAAGTTTTAACCGTATATTTTCTTTTTTTTTTCTCCTTTCTTTTTTCTGTCTTATTTTGTCTTTCCTCTGTTTTTTACTTTGTGTAGGCTATTGTACTGAATATGATGTGCCAGAAAGCAAAATCCTCTAGACATCAGCCCAAAAGTTTTCTAGGCTTACAGCCAGGTCCAATTCAAATACAGCCCTTTAGCTGTCTTACATAATCACAGCTTTGTGATACATCTCACAGTCTCCAAATATTGATTTTTCTAATCCATTGGAGCAGTAGCTCAGCCCTACACAGTGCATGCCGAAGTATTTTTAAAGTGTGTTGTTAGAGACAGTATATTCGCTAATGAGTAATGGACTGAGCTGATAATGCTTAGGAGATGTATCCAGGAGACAAGCTTGAAAGGAAAATGAGGTGGCTGGAGATGTTTTTAACTTCACTGAGACTGCTGAACTTTGAGACACTCTAAGGCTGTCCTAGTTCCTTGTAGATGGCTTAGTTCCTCTTGTAGTTTCCATTAAGTTTAATATTTTTACTTTGTCTTCTTGACTGTCTGCAGGAATTTTGGGTGTTTTTGGGCTCTGAATTGATCTTTTTAGAGCAATTAAGCCTCACTTTTTGTGGCCCATTACTGATATTTACTGACTTTATTCTTCAGGTCTTTCTCTAAAGGGATTTATATTTTCTTGTTACTATTATTTTTTAATTTTTCCCCCTGAAGGAATCATGATGGGAAGAAGGAAATAAAGTTAAAAGAACTTTTAGAATTTTTGAGTCCAATGCTGAACATGCAGAGCAGAGTTACTGAAGGGATTGCCTTTTCCAGAAAATTTTCTGGAAAATAATGAGAGCCTATCTGAGAGCATTCTTAAGTAGATTTGCTGTCAGATACATTTCTTCACTGATCACTCCATGGGATGCTCTTTTTTTCTCCCTTTATCCAGTGCTGCTCATCCCTCCTTGTATGAGTTTATTTCAACAACTTCTGACAGTGGGTGGAAACCTTTTAAAAAACATAATGAAAAAGCAAACCATTTATTATTCGTTCTGGAAAACATAGTTAGTAAGTCAGTTACTAATCCCTGGCCATAAGTCTTCAGCCCCGTTTTATTCCTAAATTCTGCAGGAACTAGGCGGTCAACTGTCTCATCTGACAGTAAAGAAAAGGAATATTGTTTATTGAATGGGGAGACATGAGTCCAAAAGAGGCCTGTACTTAAAATAATCAGGAGGTACCTGATTCTGTAGTCATATAATGTAATAATATTTCATTAACACTTGATATCTCTGTACCTGTTCTAAACTAAAGGCAAGGAAACATTTTAAAAATCTGTTAATTCTCTTGACAGTAGAAGCTTTTTTTAAATTCAATGTTGATGCTTCTACAAATGGATTGATTCTGATAGATATGATTGCCTATAGTTGTAACTCCTCTGCTGACTCTTAAATGTACTGATACCTTGGTATAAATGAGAATGGAGGAGTCTTCAGAGAAAGAATTTCCAATGATCATGGAATAAAACAAAGTAGCATTGTATGCACTGGGGAGGAGGAGAGAATGTCTAGAAATCTATGGAGCTTGGATTTCAGGCTGGTTTTGCTTTATTGTCACAAGTTTCTTTTCTTATGTAAACCCTGTATTGCTTGGAGGCAAAAAAAAATCCTAGCATTCTTTCTCAGAAAGGAAGAATTCTAAATTTATTTTCTCTTGAATGTTGTTCTATTGCTCTTACCATAGTTAGGTTGCTATCTCTTAAACAGATTTCATCAGCCTAAAGCAAAAGGAACTTATTGTTTTTACTGTGATTGTAACAAAAAAAAAGGAGGAAAAATATTCATAAAAGTACTTCTGTACTGCTGCAAATATTAGAGAAGACACTGTAGAAGACCAAGCCATATTAATTTGTCACTCAGCTCTTCTAAGTTCTTCTAAGCCTTCTGCTGTTTACATTTTTGTAATGGAGTTTCTCACACACTTTTTCATGTAAATGATGATTGTTTTACATTCCTTTCTGGAGGAGGAGAAAATTGATGGACTATTGGTTTGACCAGTGTCATTGGAGAGGTGACAATTTCATCCTCCAATCCAGGGTCACTTTTGGAATTCTATATATATATTGAGGTCAAGAAAAAAAACCTACCTTGTTTTTACCTTGGAGGTTTCAGCATCGTTCATTTCGTGTCCTATTGTGTCATCAATTAGCTCTGAATTGTTAAATGTGTCTTACTTTAGGAAAAAAGATGTCACTGTTAGCATTCAGATAATCTTCTAGTTGTTAGGATTTTACTTTCAGAGTTAATTTTTCAGTGTAAATTAGGTAAATAATTTTGGCTTTTCAATATACTTTTTCAGGTACAAGTGTTTGGATTATATTCAGCAGAAGAGTTTCATGAAACTTTTGACTGTCCTATTAAAGTAAGTGCTTGTTTTAATCTTTAGTAATTGTGGTGGTGTTGTCTTTAGTAACAGAAAGGTCACATCCAATATAAATGAAAGAGAGGAATATCACTTCCTTACAATGTTGTTCAAGTCACTAGAAAATAGTTTTCTATCCCAATAGCTTTTGATCTGGTTAGGTAGGAAGAAACCAATCTTGGTTTTGTAAGAGGTATTATTGAGTTCTTCAAATACAAAAGGAAAGTGAAAGAGAAATTGTCCTGTTTTAGGCATTACCCGTCTCAACATATTTCTCTGTAGATTTGTGATACAAATTCTGGGGGTTCTGCTAAATGGGAGGTCAATATTTTGCAACCAGTTCATATCCATTAAACCTGCCTCAAAATAAAGCAATGGGCAGTGATACTGATGTGCCTTATCTGAAGGGAAAACTTGAGTTTAACTCTGCTTTAGAGAAGTGTGTCTGCCTGGCTGTTGAAAAAAAGACATCTGTTAGGCATATGGGAAAACCCAGTGATTTTTAACAAGAAACATTTCTTGCAGGAGGAAAGGCGATGTGGGCAAATGTTTGCATTTTGCTGCTTGGAGTCTTCCATGTTGCAGCTGCTCTTTATGGTGTGGGGGAAAGGAATGAGGCTGTTAAGTTTTCACACATGCCAGATGTGACTCACTTGCCTCCTAGGGCCTTTATTGCTCGTACAGCTGGATCTACACACTTGACATTTTTACACATAAGGCAAAGAGACTGTAAGATGCTACACGATGTTGTCCTCTAACAGGGCTGAGGTATGTGTGCCCTTCAGGCAGGCCCCAGACCAGATTTAACTGGGGTAGCTCTTGCTCACAGCAGTCCTGATTGTTCCTAATTGGAATCCTGTTCTGATTGGTCCTAATTCTGCAGCCTGCTATACAGAAAAGTAGCTATTCAGTGTAACACGGCACTCAGTATCACGCTTGTCATACAACATAAAATATGAAGAATTATCTTTTAAGAAAAACAACCAAGTGTCTGAAACAACTAGGCTTTACTTCAGAGAAAGAACTCAGCTGTAATACTTGATAATTGACAAAGGGTTATCTAGTTTAAAGAGTGATGTGGTGCTTCATGTAAATTCTTACTTAAGCCACGATCCTCTCTTTCCCTCTTCCCCCACCATCCCCAGATTGTTGCTGTTCATCCTCAGTTTGTAAGATCCCACTTCAAGCAATTTGTAACCGGCGGAAAAAAGGTAAGCATTCATAATGAACTTTGGCTATCTTTAAATAGCCCTTTGATATAGCTTGGAAGGATATATATGTGACTCTTAACACCTAGAACAAAGACTTCCGCTTTTTCCTTCTCTTTACACATTGTATTTTAAAGCATTGTTAATTAAAAGTGATTTCAGGGGAGAAAGTGCAAGTTTTATGTTAAGAACATGTTGCAGCAAGTTGAGATTCAGAGTAGAAATACCTTTCTGTCTAGATAGTCTGAAAAAAAAGTAATTTATATGGCCTGGGCCATATTTTCTCCGTATTAATTTGTTGGAGTGGGAGCAGAAGTTAGACCTTAAAACTGATCTTTTACGTGTTGATTTTGGGTTGCCTGTGGGTGATTTTTTGGGATGGTTTTGTTTGTTTGTTTGGGGTTTTATTTTAAGGAAAAAAACCCAAGTATCTTCATCAGCTCTTCTCCATGGTGAGGGGTTTTGTTGGTTATTTTAAAATGAACTAAGGGGAGTTCTTGGTATAGTAGAGCTCACCCCATTCCAAGCATTTATATCTCTAGGTAGTCTTCTATTTGGATTTAGTTGGAGTTTTAAATGTGCATTAAGCGTCTTATTAGTGTAGGATACAATTCTGACTTCCAGATTGGAGGTGTTTCCAGGTCCCACAAGTATCTTATATCACATTGCATATTTTAAGTCAAAATATGAAAAGTTTTATTTGGAACAGTTTCTTGAATGCATGGAATTTTATATTCCCTTTGGTTAAGAATTAAGGGTGAGCAATTCTCACAGGTGCATCAAACCAAATGCCATTGCACTCTCTTACCAGCACATAAAAACTACAGGCTTCTGGTGCTGAATACTTCTTAATTTTCATTAACAGTTCAGTAATATATTTCAAAGCATAGCTGCGCTTTACTTATTTAAGTGGTGTGTGTTCTTGACAGATTTTTCTGGCTGGTAGAAGTTGGTGTTGTCCTTAAAAAAATGCATAGTCAGTGTGTGTTTGTGTCAGCCACCAGTTTGTGAAGGTCTTTAGTGCTGATAAAAGGGGCATGGAAGGAGAGAAGCAAGGAAGTAATAGAACAGGGCTCCGCCAGATGGTAAAAGATCTTGCATTCACCTGATGCTGAACAGAAAAAAATATCAGGGAGTTAACACATTCTCTTGGGGTTATCTTTGATTACTTGACAGGTTGTTTTATATTCTGTCCTCTGGGGAATGGTATACTCATTCTTAATGCATTCATGCTTTGCTGAGGAACTTTCCTCCTCAGAAAAACTTTAATTGACATCTTAACATAAGGTACTTAGCATTGAAGCAAATGTCACTTGACATCTGTAATTTGATTTTATTGGTGCAAAAAAACAACAAATAAAGCCTTTAGCTTTGCAATAGAAGCCTTTCCCTTTCTCTCCTTTCCTCCAATAGGAGCATATGTACTTCTATAAAAGCAACTACAAAATACTTTTTGAAAATTCAGGAAGCTAAATTCCACCTACTAATGAAGCTACTTTTTTTTTTTACCTTTTTTTTTTTTTTTGGCTTTTTTGAACACTTACACCTCTCCTTAACTATAAAGCCAAAGTGTAGTATGGCAGGCAACAGGCAGCTGAACACAAGAGTGAAGAGAAGCAGGCTGAAGCATACAGCCTCAGGCTGTGGACCTCACCACTCTCTCCCTGTGTCTGGGGGATTGTGCAAAACAAAGTTAAGCAACCAAGGTGAACTCCTTCAGGGAGGGAGACAGGTCTTCCTGTGGCTCCTGAGGTCTGTGCGCTTCTAGCCTTTGCATGTGTACAGTGACTTCATCCCTAATAGCTGGCAGTGGTGGGAAACATGTTGCCTGTTGTCCTCATCCACACCAAGGTAAGAGTAACAGTAAGAGTATCTTCATTGTGGAGCAAATGTAAAAGAAAAGCTTTGCTTAAAGGTCTAATGCTATGCTCCTTGCCTGAGGTACATTAAAAAACATAGTATGTATCATGTGAACTCTTAATCCAAAGGCTTTTTGGGTCTATTTTTGTTTTTGCTTTCATTTTCTGGAAATGGTGGCATAATGTATGTAAGCATTTTTAAGTGGAGTGGGTTTTTTTGTTTGCTTTGCCTTTATTTTTTAAGGAAAATATTATTCATAACAATATAGAATGTGTAAAAAATACATTTTTCAGTTCAAAGGTCCACTCAGGGCATCCTAGAAATGTTCAAGAAACAGAAGGGGGAAAAAGACCCTAGCGACATGCTTCAGGGATGCACAGTGCAGATCCTTGATTCCCTACACAGGTGGATGTCTGGAACTTGGGTGAATTGCTGTGTAATGCTGGGATTTGCTACATCTTAGAAGCTCAGCCTGACCAAAAGCTGACTTAAGAGCAGTGCTCCCTGGGGTAACTGGGGTAATCACTGTGAGCTGTTGTAAGCTTAACTCTACTGTGCATATGTTTATATGGTTGCTTAACTTTGCTTAAGTAGGCATATAGAGAAGCTTTTCTCTAAAATGTGTTATGAACTAATTAAATTGTTTGCTTATTAAAGCATTAGTATTTAAAAGAAAACTTCTGTTAAACTTGAGATAATATTTTTGGGTTGGCAAAGCTTATTTCACCCATTTTCCTAAGTGAATTAATATTATCTGTGCCTAGAAATAAGACAGGTACTGTGGAAATTGACACTATTGCAGTGAGAAGCAATAGGTGCCATAGTAAAAGAAGGTGCTACCTCCTCATCTCTGCAATTAACCACAGCACTGTTGTGCTGATTTGGCAGATGATGGTAACCGTGAAGTAATAATACTATATATTGTAAGTAATAGGGCATTTCTGTCCAGAGCAGACAATAGAGCTTCAAAGCAAGGGAAAAGACAAATACTGTGCTATTGAAGGCCATAACCTTCTACCTTTTAAAAAAAGGCTCTAATCTCAAAAAATAACAGGGTAAAAGCCAACTAAATGAGGGTGGTAAAGCTGAAAACAAGGTTTTCTTGATTTGACTCTTAGAGTGCTAGTCTTTCCTAATACATGAGCTAAATAAACATTTTTGTGAAGTCCAAGTGTCCGTTATTGTCATGAGGGTTACACAGACAGAACTAACAAAGAAAGAAGACTGAATATTATTTCAGATGCAAAGTCAAGGTATCAGCTACTGTGACTTATGTAAAGATAACATAAGGAGAGCAGGACAAGTTGAGATTTCTCTCTTGGCAGAGACATCATCTCTATTAACATCAGTAACTAGATACAAGGGTTTTTTTAGTGAAACACTTAGGAGAGTAAGTCCTCTGAAGTGATTGAGTCACTCTCCTGAATGTGTGATAATGGAGGGGTTTTTTAAGGCTTCTCAACGCAGGATGGTAGTGGGGACCCAGCACAAATTAAGCAAATGTATTCTAAATATAGGAGTAGAATATTCTGTATCATAAAGGACTGGGTCTTCTCATTTGCCTAGGACGTACATTTTGTATAATAAGTATTGATTTGCATATCCAGTCTGAAACATTTTAAGGGCTAGAGAAGCAAAATGAAACTGATGTACCCTGTGACTGTCAACAGTGTCATCTCTCAATGTCTATCTGTGTCTATATGTACATAGTATATTGATGGGTTTTTATATATATATTTGTTGGAAATACATATATAAAAACCTTTTTAATAATGTCTGTGTTTCTTTTTCTGCAGAAGATATACTATAAGAACTGATTTTCAAATACAGATGTATCTGATCATGTTTGTCCCATTTATCCTCCCAGAATTAGCATTTTAGCTTATCAATGCTTGTGTTTAAACATTAGACTCTTTTTTCTTTTATAAAAGTGGGGAGAACTTAGTGTTACCTGAGGGAAATTTCTCATTAAAAAAAAGCCAAACAAAAAAACAGCCAAACAAAAAGACCTATTTCCGTGTCAGAATTCTAGACCCATGGTAATTCTTGCCTGAAATGCAAAACAAGACAATCTAAATTTCTTTCCACTCCAGGTGTAGCAACAACACACGCAGGGAAAGCATGGTGATTGCAAACAGTGCACAAGTGGGAAGAGAAAAGCATTGTTGGGGATCTGTGACTGCTGTTAAGGGTTGTGGAATTTCTATGTTAAAGTCAATCTGCCAAGGAATGTTTTAGATATTTTTTTTAATTGTTGCTTTTTAGTGTCAGCAGATGCACTTTGTGTGGTGAGTAAGCAGATGACCTTACCTTTGAACCCTATGATATGTACTTTGTAATAACTGAAGTACTTTGACAAATTATTAAATTGTCAGGATGCTGTTTGCAGTGCAGTCCTTTTTTAGAAAGCACATAGTCAGCTGTTTGGCATTATGTTGGGTAGAAGAGTACCAGACAAGAAAGGCAGATTGCTTTGTAAGCTATAAAATGTCACTCAGTAAATACTCAAAGGTCTGATTTAAGTGGTGAAGAAGGAGTAAATACTGTGGCAATTTCTGTCCATGCATTGGATAATTTACCATAAGTAGGAAATAAACTGTAGCAGCAAGCAAACCACAATACTACTGGTCTGTTATTTCCTTGCTGCGATGCAAAATGCCCAGATGTACCCCGTATTATTGAGCAGATGAGACTGTGATATGTAGTATGTCCTGTTTGCTTAATAAGCATTTTTTTTTTTTGCTTACATTTCTTCTTTATGTGTATTTGGATGAGCGTTTCTTCTTTATCGCTAAAACAAAAATTCTCCTTGTGCTGTAGTAAATTTGGTTTGTGTAAAGCAAATGGGTCATAGTTGTATGTGCATGTAATCTATAGTTGTGTGGTTTACAAATGTCTGTGTAGAACCCTTTCTTTCATTGACTGAGGTGGCAAGTGAAGAGGATCTAAGTGTATGAACTGTGTCTCTGCCTGCAAGACGGTGGGATTTGCTTTTCAAGGTGTTAATTCTGTAGCTTTTTGTGAATAGGCAACAGTTGGAATGTGGCAGTTGAGTTATTAAAAGTGAAGCCTAATAAAAGTCCTGTGGCATTTGTTTCTATTAAACATCTCAAAATTTCTAGCTCCTCTGTCCGTGAACTACAGCAGTAGCTCCTGTCTCATCTCTCACTGTTGCCATCGCATACCTCCTGATGCTGCTGTGTGCCTTTGCTGCCTTGCTTGATTTCCCTTGGCTGCACTTGCTTCCCTCCTCTCTGTTCACACCCCAGCTCCCTACACAACATTTTATGACAAAATCTTGAAAGCTCATCTTCAGCTGAAAGCTTGAGGCTTACATTATTCTCTGCCTTGTTTGAGCTCATTCTGGTCCCATTGTCTGTTTCAAATACAAAGTATAATTTTTTATTGTTGCTGTATGTTTTCCTAGGGATGAACTATTAAACAGTAAGTCTTCATGAGGCATGCTGTTCTGTGTTACTGTCTGCTATCTGTTAGTCTTGGCTATGCCTGTAAATATTTCTTTTATGCTGGAAACAATAAATAGCTGTAGTGATCACTTGTAACCATGGAGATAGCATTTTAGATTTTTGTGGTCTTGGCTGGCTGAGGTGAAAGTGGTGACAGAGGCACCAAAACACAGGACAAATGCCAAAGGTAGGCTCATCTTCACACTTAGAACAGGACAAGGAAATTACAGGGACTTCTTTTCTAATTTTCATTTTGTGAGATAAAAACTGATCCAACAGTTCTGCAGTAGGGAATGGAAAAGCTGCTCTTCAATTACAAAGTTGACGTCTTTTTTTTTCTTCACTTCACTAAAACTTCTTCAAATCTTTACACAGAAGGCACTGTGTTGAAACAAAGTAGTGATGCTAGGCATCATTAAGTGTGTTTCATTTGAAATTTCTGTGAGAACAGACATCTTTTATTTCAGTATATTGAAGCTAGTAATTGGCAGTGAGAATAAATTAAATTTAATTACTTCACCATGTTGATACTTCCTAAGTTGCAATCATTCACCTCTTTGTTCAGAGGATTGGGAATTCCTGTACATGATTTAAGACCAGGATTATATGTAATTAGTGTTAATGCTAATTGCATGACAGGCTCCATTAAGTCCAAGCACTCATCTACTCTCTTTCATGAATGCACTCTAAAATAGAGTTTTGAGCTTTTTTTGGTGTAGATTAATCTCCTGTTAGTAAAAGATATGGAGAGATGTATTCACTAATCCAAAATGTGTATTCTAATCCAACTATTTTTAAAACCAGAAAGTGTCCTGCTCCATCCTCTTGTCTCATACATTTCAGTGTGTCATTTTTCTTAATGATCTGGTGGACAATCATAAACAGCTAAGAGGACTCGCAAAATAATTAGTGAGCTAACAGAAGATTGCAATGTGCTGTGAAACAGTGTGGGTGGGGACCTTGAAGCTAAAGGTTATTTTATTTTAGCTGCATTATCAAATTGTGGTGCATGCAACACTGGAAGAGTGTTCTAAGCACAACTGTATTGTATGTAACAAAGGACTAGAAAGTTTTATGAGAGCAAATGAAAAACAGGGAAAACAAACTCTATTGCAGAGAAGCCAAGAAAGTGGGATTTTGGCTGCTGTTGAAATATAAGTACTGTGAACGCTGACTACTATAATGCAGGACTTATGGCAAATAAAATCTTAAAATATTTTTCCCCTACCAAAAAGAGAGGGAGGTGGTAGGAGGAGCGCCTCCAGAAACCATGGATTTCTTCTTACAAGTCTTTTGAAGTTTTAAATTACCTTCTGGTATGATCAGTATTTCAATGTGGAGACAGAAAGGAAAAATAAGAAAGAAATTAGGTTGTTTATTTTGAGAGATGCTTTCAGTAGACAGCAGTTCCAAAACCCATAGGAAAGTTCTGGGTTCACAAATTCAATTTCCAGGCGTCATTGCTTTAAGAAATAATAAATAAATCACAGTATGTATGTCAGCAGCATGCAGATAATTGCACTGAAGATAATTTAGTTAAGCATATTTTGAGATTGCGTTTTTTTTAAAGCCACAATGTGAAGTGCCCTTTGGCCTCAGTGTTTGACCTATTTCAGTTGCTGATCTGAAGAGGGGAATGATAGGGTGTTTCAGTGATTCAATTTCCATCCTTATTACAGGTGATACCCGCCTGTTGTCTTCTACTGCCATGATCTGAAAGCTTGTGTTCTTAGGGTTGATCATAGATGGAAGCAGGATTTTTCAAATCATCTTCATTCTTCACCAGTTCTTTCTCAGATCGCTTACTTTTCCTTGCAGTTTGTTATTCAGAGTCATGAACAAGCATGATGTTCACAAAACATGAATAACAAAAAAAGATGCAGTGTCATACCAAATTTGCTCTGGATTTTGAGTATAATAAATTAATTTAAATCACAATTCAGTCACAAACAGGATAAATTCCAAGTACAATTAATATAATTGACATCAGCTAGGTTTAGCCTTTCACATCATCCACATCACTTTTTTGAACTTTGTCCAGTAAGTCTCAATGCAAATACCATGTATTTTGCTGCTGTCTTTATTGGATGGTATTGAAAGAAACATCCAAGCAGCAGTTCTTCTTCTGTCCAACTTCTCCTTAGGAAAAAAAAGTAATTTTCAAGTCTGGATCAGCACAGCACTTAGTTTTTATGGCGTCTTTGGTGTCTGAGTGGAGATCATTCATTTGGGCTGAGGGCTGCTCCTGTGCTTAACATCTACCTACCAGTCTTCTAATGGAAATCCCTCCATATAGCACTGACTTGTAGGTGCTTTCAGTGGCTTGCCCTGGTAGCTGTAAAAGAACGTGTTCTGTGAGAGTTACTCAGTAGCCTTTTCACATGTGGGAAAAAAAATCTATACTGTCTAAAAGTTGGGCCTTCATGTGACCTATGTGAAGGACGCAAAATCACTTTGCTTGAACTAAAAGTTGACATCTGCAGTGCAATTCACACAAAAATTTCTCAATAGACTACCCTATCTAGTGTTTGCTTTAAACTGTTGGAGAAAACACTTGTCTTCTGGTGCCATCTGGTGGCTTTGGGAGACAGGTAGTCTGATAATTGTCATTAAAATCTTATATTTTGTGTAAAAATCTTATTTTAAACAACTAATGTCTTAACACTTGATGTATTTATCCAAATACAAGTGGCGGGAAACCATATATAGAAAAGTGCATACAGCTGGATCTTAGATAGGAAATGTTAGCAAGAAGAGTACTCCATTTGGGTTTTAGCATGGTAGAAATCCTTGCAGACAGCTATTTCACACTTTCCAGTGTGAGGTGTGAGTTCAGGAGCTTGGGTTCAGGCAGTGCATATGTTCATATGCACAACCTGAACATATGTGTTCATATGTTCAGGTTGTGCATATGTTCAAACTCATGCAAAAGTTAGCAGGAGTGATACCTTAGAGTATGATCTCGGTAGATGCCTCAGCTTCTTACTTAGGTATCCCTCCAAGTGCTGCACTTTGCTTCTCTCAGAGTAGTTCCATATAATCCTATTAAATAATTTAATGAGACATGCAAAATCAGAATGTTCTGATTTGGAAGGGACCCACAAGGATCATTGAGTCCAGCTCTTAAGTGAATGGCCCATAACTGGATCGAACCTGCAACCTTGGCATTATTAGCACCATGCTTCAGCCAACCAATATGGGCTGTCTTTCTGTGCAGACTTTCTGCATGTAGTTGGGTTTTTCTTTGCTGCTGAAAAGCATCTCATAACATCTCTTATACTTTTAGATATTCTAAAATACCTTCCTTAGTTGCAGAACCTGAGATTACCAGTCACACAAGTTTTACAATCAGCAGCACTTGTGGTATAGTGCAGTTTGCACATGTGGAACTAAACCACAGCATATCTAGACCCCTGTGGGAGGCTGTGTAGTTCCACATGAAGCCAAGCAACAGGTCACAGGCTTGGGGATCTTTTAATTTTCTTTGAATACCTGTGGTTTTTTTGGAGGGAAGGAGCCTATAACAAGATTGGTTAATGTCAAGATCAGTGAATGTGAGATGATCTGATTTCTTTAACAATTTTCTGAATTGTTGTCACTAGTGCTGTAGACATAGGTTCTGAAATACCTTAATTTCTTTGTCTTTAAAAAGTAAATAATTATACTTACTGTTCTTTGGAGAAACTTGATGAAAGGCCTTCTTATTAATATTGTTTAAATTTAACAGGAATTCTGTAATATACAAGATGCTTGATGTAATATATATAGCAAAATGTTTGATAGCATATGCTTTTGTTTTGTGATAGGTGTGTATTTTTCATTGCCCTTAAATCCAAACAGAGTAAGGGATAATGAAGAAAAAATAACTTCAATGTCTGCATACAGTACTCTGTCAAAGAAATATTTATTGTTGCATTTCTTCATAGTTGCTGTTGTATGAAAGAGGTTGGATGAATAGATGGAAGCCTTCAGTTTTACATGAAGGGGAAGGAAATATAAGAAATATAAAATGGAGGGGGCACTTAATTGCTTGGGCTAATAATATGGTAAGTATTTTTCACCTCCATTACATGTACAAGAAAATCTCTGTGTTACACTGATTATTGATATTTTTCAATGATAATTGCCAGAATATTCAGTTGAAAAACTGTGAATTGGTAGAATTGGTTGTAAAAGGCATTGAAGGATAGTGGTTTATATGTCATTTCTTTTGAAATTCTTTCAACAGCAATTTCTTCTGTTGTTTTCTGCTGGTTAGTCAGGGTCTCCAATATGATTGCCACTTCTGAAGAAATTAGGAAAGTAGCTCTACATACTGCTGTGGTGATCACTAATGTACACTATTATTTATTAGAATTTTGATTAATGCAATTTATTGAAGCAAACTGAGGAAGGAATGCCTATGTAATTCTCCTCTATATAAATAATAGAACATCTCCACTCCCTTCCACCCCCTGAAAAAAAAAATAAACTGTCTGGATTTTGTAATTGGCACTGAAATGACATTGTCATATGCACTTTCAGTGTTGCAGATTATAAAATAATACAGTAATAATTTCTCATTTTGTTAGGCACTAGAAGAAAGTTAGACTTAGAAGAAAATAGGCTCCTTTTGTTCTAAGTATAATTTTAAAGGAAACCATTGCATTCATTCTGAGTGTTGCATTTCACCTATCACTGGATATCTAATTGATGGGTTAAGCTCTATGTTTTGCAGCTCAGCAGTGAGGGATATGTTTTTAATGTGTATCATGTCTAAATTCCATTATTTTTTAAAATGTGTTGAAAGTATTTCTGAGACACTAGCTTTTTTTCTATTGTTTTTCCATCATAAAGGGAGGCATTTATTAAAATATTTTAAAGCTGTTGTTCTTTTTTATATTTCAAAACCAGTTTGGTATGAAATTGTTAAAGCTGGACCTTTGTTTATTTGCTTCCCTTTAATAACTGTTAGAATGGAAGCTTCATTGAGGGCTTGACTGACATAACATTAGGTTATTTGAAGGTTTTATTCTTTTCAGATCCATACAACTAAAATACATATTCTAGATATCTACTGGAATGGATAGGACAAGAGCTATCCCTAGAGATGATGTGCCACAGCAGAACACAGAGTACTGATAAAACATTGAGAGCCGTCTCTCAGAGACAAAAAGCCATGGTCAGGGCCTATCTTTCAAAGAAAAATAAAATGACACTTGCCTTCCAAAAGATTAACATATTTGGTTATTGCCCTTTCTCTTCCCCTTTAACTTTTTAAACTCCATTCGCTAGCAAGGTTTTGTGTTACACTTTTTTTTTTCCCAAATCAGAGAAAATGTTTATAGCCTTGCTTCCTACTGTGTGTGCATGGCTACCTAGTTTTCATATATAGGCAAGGTCTAATTCTGCTTTTCAGATGCATAGGTAACCCATGTTTTCTGCTTCTCCTTCCCTCTTCTCCTTCCTCCATGGCTAATAGTGCAAGTTTTGCAAACTGAGACATCTGAGGGACAAATCCTTAGAGGCATTTGGCTGCTGGACTCCCATTTGGACAGGTTTTAGCTCATTCATGATGGGAAGTTGACTGTGGAAGGCCTTTCATGATGCAAATGGCATACCTGCTAGAGGAGAAGCCACTGCTCAAGCATTCTCACACCATTCAAGGAGTCAGATACACACCACCCCACACTTTTAACTTCAAGGACTAGAGTCCTTTTTCAGTGGGCAGCTCCAAAGAGCCAACCCTTTTGATTCCTTGGTCACTTCCTGTGCACCTGCTCACAGGCAGAATGCATAATAAACATTATTCTTACCATAAATCCATAACTCAGCACTGTACCAGCTACTAAAAAGAAAATTAATTAATAATTAATTACCAGCCAAAAGCATATCTAGGTGTAAGTTCAGATCTTAGCACCCAAGACTTCAAAAAAAAATCCAGCTACTTATGCTAAGCAAGTAAACCTATGCAAGCAACATGCTATATCACACGATATTATAACTGTAAATAACTTACTCTTATGTGAAACTTATTATATTAAACAACTGTCTTTCAACACTTATAACCAAAGAATATCCTACACTGTTAGTTTGAAAGCTACTTCAAACAGGAGCTGGTCTATCCCATACAAGATTTGCTGCCATGTAGAAAAACAGAGGGTGTGGTATGGGTCACTGAAAGTCATCCTTGGAGACAAAGTAATAAGATTTATAAAAAGCAACTTTATTAAAATGCAATTCAAGCAAGATTAAAAATTTTATCAGATACACTTAGAAAACACAAAGGATAAGATTGTTTATGTTACCTAGAGATCTGGGTTCTGTACATTGCAGATGTTTTGGTAAGTTTTTGTTTGGTTGTTTGTTTGTTTGTTTGTTTGTTTGTGAAACCTTGATGTCTGCTAGCTGATGAGATGCTAGTGGAAGTGTGTTCCATGCTCACAGTTCTTCAGTGACAAAGATCGCTGAAAAAAATTCCTACACCCACCCTCATACCTTGTGGTTAAAAACAAAGGCAAAACCTGGCTTAGACCATGACCCCCCCCGTGACTTTTAAACAGTTGTATAGCTGAGGACATAGGAACTCTCAATGGGGGGAACAGCAATAGGCAGGGGAATTTTTAAAATCAGTTTTGCCACTAGGAAAATCCTAACATGGCATGGCATCATGGTTGCTGACCTTCAAGTTCTTTTCCATCCCCCTTTTCTGTGATTTGAAGACTCACTCTCTAAGATCTATGAGCAGAAAAGAAGTTCCTACTAAAATACTTAATTTTAGAGACTTATGTTTTAAATTACCAAGAACAAGTAATTACTTAATATGAAATTAACCTCCATTTTGCTATTGGAAAGGTTATAGCTTACCTTGTCTAAATGATACAGAAAAATCTAATTATTGGGTTTTTTTGCCTCTGTCTCTCAAATGACTTTAATCTTCCTCTTTTTTAACTTCTTGTTCTGTTAGTTTAAGAGATTTCCTGAGGAGGGAGTAAAAAAACCACAGCATATAAAACCAAGCATTGTTTAAATATGCTCACTTTTCAGTTTTAATATAAGAATTGAAATGTATGTCTTGAGACTGAATTCATTTATGTTAATCTGCTGTTGCTTTTTTTCTTCCCAAGGTGGAAATTTCTGTGTCTCTACGGGGACTGTTGTGAAAAAGCTGGGATTCTTTTTATTTCTCCAGGAGTAGCACCAGCCTTATAAGCCAAACTGGTTCATGACTGGAATTACTAGTCTGTCACTCATTCACTTATTATGTCTTTTTATTTGGCATTTGAATTTAAAATACCTAAATTACTCTGATCCCTTTACTCCTTTTATCACCTCATGGGTTAGATGGGTTTTTGCATCAATAGTTTTTTCTGGTGGCACACTCAGTCCTGCTCTGAAATTTATGCCGTAAACTGCTCTGACTGCCTTAGCGTACAAAATGGTGAGTGAGTAGGCGTTTGTCATACTGAATAAAGTTTTCTTGTTTTTAAACTTCCAGGGCGTGAAGATACTTGACATGATCTCCAAGCAAAGAATTACCAATGTGCCTCGAGATGACATAAGCCTTCGTCCAGATATGTATCCCTGCAGCCTTTGCTGGAAGGATAATTTAACACTGATTATTGGCTGGGGAAATTCAGTAAAGGTGCAATTACCTGTCTTTGTAATAAATGCTTGCTGTTATCACAGACAAACAGAGGATTGTTTCTGAAAAGTAAAGACAATCGAAAAAAATAGAATTTGGTTTGACCAGCGTTCAGAACTCTTGCTGCCTTAGAAATGTCATTGGACCGACCCTCAAGAGGAGGAGGAGTGATAGGCACCCAGCGGTCAGACAGATCTCTGTGTGAGAGCATGCAGTGAATGTAGTCCTCAGGGACATTTCACTCCTTGGAGAGATTTTGAAAGCTTTTAGTGTGCTGTTGAATTCATTTATTTGGATTGGCATTAAGGAAGAACAACTTACCATGAGGTATTTTTGGAGGGGATTGGTTTGGGGGCTGAGGAGGTTGCAGCTGCTAAAACGGCCACATGATTTTGGTCAACCATGGGGGGAAAAAAATGGGTGGGTGGAGGGACAGACTGCTTAGGGTTTTGTTATCTTTCAACAGGAAACTGGCATTTCAAACTTCTGTGGTGCAGACTGATTATCATTTGTTCAAACCAGCACATGACATGAGTTTGTTACAAGCCTGTTAGCTGCTTTCTAATAACATACTGCTGCATCACTGCACAGTAGGAAATTAAAAGTGCCTGATAGGAATAGATGGAAAGGGAGGGTGGAGTAAGGTAGGTGACATGTAAAAAGCTTTTGAGCATTAAGCTTAGAGTTTTATAAATGAGGAGGTTTGTCCTAAGTTTGGCATCTGTCTTCCCCCTTCTATTTGCCTGTGCTTCACATTTCGTTATTTGCATTTGTTTGTATGTACATACTCCCCTCTTTTAACTGCGAGGAGCAATGGCAAACTTACTGAATAAGAATCAGGTACCTTGAAAGGTAATGAGACACAAAGTGTGAGAAGACACCAAAACCAAACTCAAATAAATACTTCTGTGAAGAAACCATAGTAGGCATGTATTTTCATATTTCTTTTATGTGGTCCTCTTTTCTCCCAGCGTATTTGTAAGGCTGTGAACTACAACCACTACTTTTCCATGTGGTTTTCTTTACTGATGCTTTACTGATCATTACTGTTTCACAACTTGTGTTTTTCAAAATAGAGAAATCCATGTTGGAGAATTCCCAGAAACTGCTTTTCTTATTGAGGCAAAGTTAGTGTCATTTTAGGAATTACAGCTTGCTTATAACAATTCAAATCTCTTGTTTCCTAGATTTGCTCAGTAAAAGAACGGCATGCCAGTGAAATGCGTGATCTACCAAACCGCTATGTGGAAATAGGTATGGTTGTGAGATTTCACTCTTTTTCAAAAAGCTTTAAAAGTCTTCTACATTCTAGCCAGAACAAAACTGTTACACTTTGGAGGTTACATGTAGTTGAAACAAAAATGTCTCCTCATTTTTGGTTGATGAGGTTGTCATAATGCCCTCTTGCCTAGGTGTGAGGGCTTTTTCCTAGAGAACCTTAAGTTCTGTGATGATGTAATATCAGAGATTCTTGTGTGAACAGTGGATACCTTAACTTTCCCTTCATACAGATTCCTTTAGAGAGCTTGGCTTTTCATCTTGGTTAAATGATTGATGGTCAGTGTAGCAGTAAAGAGAAAATAGATACTACTTTATTTGATTATATGTTGTTTGACTGTACTACTCATAACATTTTTCTCTTTTTTTATTCCCCCATAAAAATATCTGGTGTAGTGCTAGGAAATTGATTTTAATTTATTTTTGTTTCCTTTCTTGGCTTCTGAATTTCATATTTTCATTTGCTTTCTTATTTTTCTAGCTAATCTGATGTGAATAAATTTTTATTGTTACTGATTATTGGAAAAGTTCTTGACAAAGTAAAGTGGAATTCAAAGAAAATTTGGAAGGGAAGTGGGGATGTAAACAAAAAGTCACAACTGTCGACAGAAGTGTCTGCTGGTGAAAAGAAGTATGTAGGAACAGATAGTGCTGGGAAGATAAACAGGCCCTCTGACTCTGCAGACCAGAGTGGGCAATAGTTTCTAGGCTTTGGTGCTCCCATGACTGAAGTAACAGGAGACTGTAGATAGCATGTTCAAGCAAGATCCTGAATCATGTCAGTTTGGAGTGGTATATGGCATATGTGTGCGTATGCTCTGTTTTCTGATTTCAGGAAAGGACTATTCTAAAATAGCTTCTGAAAATCAGCTAAGAGACTTGTTAAGTTCTGCAGGGAGTCTGAATACTGAGAGATTCGTGGTGTGCCTGAGAATTAACTGAGACCTGAAAGCTATTTGTTGTTTAGGATTACATAGGGCAAACAGACTATTTAACTGCAGAATTCTAGGATATTCACAATAATATTATCAAGGAAAAGTTTGGTCATGAGTTTTAGCCTCAGGTCTTGTATATAATATTTTCTGTACCTGTAAGTAGCTTTTAGAAAATAACTCAATGGGTTTGGTCACATACTGACAAGTGAACAGAAGTAACTTCTGTTTCAGCTATAATGTGCTTATACAGATGGTGCTAGTTTTAGGTGACTGTCTATTGGAACTTGATTCAAAAACATAAAAAGTTGCTATTGGGCTATTTAGGTGCAGACATGAAGGATAAAGATTTATGTGGAAGTAACTTTTTGGCCTGCGGTTTCCTCTGTAGTCTAGAGAGCTGGTATTTTATCTCACTTAACCTGTTAATGATGTTCTTGAGATTTTATTTTCTGGTTTCAAGTCAAAGCACTGAAATTGCTCTGCTAAATTGCTCTGCCATCCACAGCACTGTAGAACTTGGGAGGGTTGGGACAGAAAAGAGAGAAGCATTGTTTGTTCAAGTCTCAGTATAAATTAATAGTCTTTCGTATAGTCACATTGAAAGTCTTCTTGTCTACAGTATGTCATACCATAACATCTATTTCAATTTTATTTCATCATTACTTTTTAAAGGTGTAGCTGGAAAGTCTGATCTTATGTCAGACCTGCAAACAGTGTAGTTTTTTTTGCAAGACCACTAATATCCAAGTGAGTGCATAAATTGATATACTTGCATAAAGTAAAGAATTTATAGAAGGCAAGAATATAATCCTTCAATGCAAGGACAAGTGAGTATCCTTCAGATATTTTGATTCATGACATCTTGTCAACAGACTTAGAAAAAGCAAAACCCTTAACACAGTGTTACTTTTGTCATGTTTAGTGGTGTGGTATTTTTTAATTTTTTTTCTCCCTGTTTTTACAATTTTTCACCTGGAAAGAAAACCAGAAGTGGAGCAGGAAACTTCATAGTTGCTTCTTTGGTCAGCAGAGTGATACATATGGAGCCTATGATAAAACAGTGTCCTGTCATGTGTCAACAGATTCAGGTTTATGCTGTTTTAAAGCCATTCTGAGGGCCCCTGAGTTGCATGGTGGTATCATAGAAAACTGTGATGGCATTAGTAGATAATAAATGTTTCTTCAGTACTTTGCAGCAAAGTGAATAAGGAAACAGTGTTTCCTGCATTGCAGTTTAGGTGCATAGGATCCTGTTTAATGAAGTACCTCCTCATCTTCTGTTTCTGTCTCACGAATTAGTGATACTTACTCTAAGGTGGGAAATAATTTCAGTATCTGCTGTGATGCTAAACCTCATAATGTGTTAAAGTTACTGAACTGTTCTAGCTGTTTTATCTTAAAGAAGATAATGCTGTGATTATCTGTAAGAGAAAATAGATTAATTATACAGTTCTCACGTACTGAAATCCATGTGACATTGCTAATTTAATTTACATCTTTCAGTATATTAGTGGTGCTTTTCTTCAGTAATCTTGCTATTGTTTTTCCTACAGTTCATTACCTCTGTGAGTCTTCATTCAGTGTCAAACATAAACTCCAAGTGAGTGTTTGTATTTAGGTTTAAACATATGTTAGCTGAGCAGATCCTATCAGTTTAGCTCTGTCAGCAACTGCTGTGAAGTGGTGTATTGATTAGAAAGTATTGGTATTGAATTACAGGCTTAACATAGACTAAATACCATTGTGATCCTTCTTAAAGAGTGCTTGACCTCTGTGCTCACTCCTGAAGCATGTACAAAAGCTGTAATGCTGCACAGCTTCTGGTCTGAACAGGGAACCCTTCCTCAACTGGAACCCATGAGCAAGCTCATTGCTAAATAACTAATTACACTTTCCAGTTAATATAATGTCTTTTCAAAGGTAAATAGGTAATCTAGTCTTCCTTGGCCTTGTCAGAATTTTATATACTTTCATGGAGAAGTACTTTATCTCTGCCTTAAGTTACTCAGGTTGTTAATGATAGCAGAAAATAGAGATTAACACGAGAAGTATGTAAAAGACTTCAAGTTGATTAGAGAATTTCTATTCAATTTATTTTTGTCCACATTTTATCTGAGGAATCTCAGCTTAATTCCAGGTACCAGCCAGGCAGCAATGTCTCTTGAATACTTGTCTCCCTTTGCATTCTACCAAATTTCCCACAAAGCAGATTTCTGATTTAAAAATTACATGTTTCAAGGCTATGCTTGTAACAACACATCTGTGTGTTTTAAAAGGGAGTAGCTGCACACCTGCATGGCAAGTCAGTATCATGCATTGAGATTGCACATTTCAATCTGTATACATGAGAATATTTATTTTCTTGTTTGTAAAGTGAGATTAATGGGATCTAATGTGCCAACAATTTCTCTTTATGTAGACAGAATGTAAGGCTTAATTGATGAATGTGACAATCAGGAAATTTACTTCATAAGGTGATTTATGCAAACATTTTGTTGAAGCAAGTCTGCTATACTCTGAGAAGCCAAAAAAAAAGAAGAAAAAACCCAAACCTAGTTATATAGTTCATTCTACTTAGACTTTCATTCATCTGTTTTGCCACAAGCCAAACCTATAATTTAGAAATTACTTCATAAAATGAGTCAAAATTCTTCAAGATTTTGACTTCTTTGTCATCAAACCTCAGAATCTCTAAGCCCCAAAATTCTTCAAGACTGCATATTTTTCCTGTTGGTTAGCAAGGTTTTCTTGGTTCAATGGAAAAAAAAAGTTTTTCAGAAAATCAGCTTTGTAGCTTAAGTGATACTTATGTGGGGCCTTTTCTTGTCCTCTAGGTGGAACTGAATTCACATACTGTAGAGAAAAAAAAAGTTATACTTTACGTTAAGTGCAACTCCATGCACAAAATAATAGCTAATCAAATCATGCCATTTTGTATTCTGTTTTGGTTTGCATAAATTACTAGCTCACTAAAAACATCCGCAAAATTTGTATTCATTGTTGTAAGTCACAGTGCACCATGCCCTTAAGAGTTCTCAAGATGGTATCTCCACCACTAGTGCTTTTAGGTGAAATCCGAGGTAAAACGCTCTGACTGTAACCAAAGTTTTACTCTTCAAAATCTGCTGTGTTAAAGCAGGGGCTGCTTTTAGAGGTTTGACTAAACAATATAGGCTCCTTTTAGTTACAGTTTGTCACGTACGCGTGGATCTTTAAATTCCAGAAGAAGTGGCTTTATGCAGTTTAGGTAACTATTGTAGCATATATAGTTTAATTTCTGTATTTTGGTATATTTGATACATTTCATTTAATGAGCAACAAAAAAGATTTACAGGTTTTTTCATTTTGCTTCCAGGTAATTTATTTGACATCTGTACATAAATGGTGAACATGGAGTAGATCCACTGTCAGCCTATCTTCTATCTTCTCTTATGACAGGCATAATCATGTATGACACATGGCCATACCTCAGTCATTTCCATTTACTTCAATACTACATTTGTTTTAATTATTTTGGATCCTTTTCAAATTAACAGCATTTCTGCATTGCCTTTTATGTTGGATTCTTTTCCTCCTTGATCACAACACAGTGTCCAGAGAATAAGTCAATTTAACCTATTATTGTTCTGTGCAGCTGTTACTTCCATCTTCTTTTTTCAGTAGGACTTTTTTGATTAGCAGCATCAAAGGTTTTTATCAGGTCAAGAAGCACTGTCTATGCCAGTTATTCTTTGTTCAAGGCTGTAGCTGCAGAGCTAGAGCATTGTGTTTCAACAGCGCCTCTTGAGAAAGATGAGCTAAGAGAAAGCTGATAGTGAAACCAAGGAAACTATATTCTATTCAAAAACAAAACCTGAAGTGGTGATTTTTATTTGTTTATTTATGTTTCACAGATCCGTACTTCTGCTTGATCTTAAATACACCATTACATTGGGTATTACAAGCATTTTCACTGGCAAAAGGGACTTAAGTTCTAGTATAAGACAAAGAAACACACATGGATTTTAAAGCTATTTCTATAATCATTATAAATGATAATTCACCTTGCTGTTTTCCTCTTCAAATACAAACCACAGTATTTTACATGCCTTTGAGAGCATTCTCCTGGCCCTTCCATAAAGCTGAATTTAAAGTTTCTTTGATAGTATTATGGATTTCACTTTGTTTTTTCTTTTCCATGTTTTTTCTCCTGCCTTCCATATTATTTTAAAATGCTAAATACTAAATTTTAAACTGAGAATTAGGTATGTAGTTGGTTTTGAACTGATTTGTTTAAAATCATTGCTGAGAGCAACATGTGACACAATCAAAGTAATCTCATCAGTCTTGTAGGCTAGAACAAGATAATTATGTACATGGTTACACATGTGAACCTTTTCTCTGTGAACGGATTGAGTGCTCTACCCTTGTGCTGTAGTGTGGTCCTTCAGTCATGCCAAAGTGTCAACAGTTATTAAAAGAAAAACAGTGCTTGGTTATTCACAGAGAGACAGGTGTCAAATATATACTCTGTTTCATTGTATTTTTTTTCTCCTTTTGTGGGAGGACAATTATTTCTCCTGTTCCTTCTTATTATCTTAGCTAAAGAAAATCAGCTTTATTTTTAATGTCATTGTACTGTATTTTCTGTTTGCCTCACTAGTAAATTTTAGTAAATATATATATATATATATTAGTAGTGTAATATGCTAAACAGTAAAGAAGGAAACTTTTTGTTTCTTACTTATGCTTAGATTCTCCTAAAACCATGTTTTGGGAGAAAATAATGAAGTATCTGATTTTTTTTAAAAGCTTATAGTTGCAAGGCTTGCTAATGTAAGCACTTGGATGATTCTTGTTTTTGTCCCCATGAGAGAGGAGCTCACAAAAAGTGGTGCATTGTAAATCCAGCAGAATAAAAACAAAGAGCTGTTTCTGTGGCAGAGGTCTCATTTATTAAGTCTTCTTGTAAATACAGTTCAGCACTCTGTTTTTCTTTATTGAAATAATCTCATGTAACTATCTTGATTTCAAGAGCAATTTCAGAAAATTATGTTTTCAGTTTAATGAGCAAGAAAAGGTACTATGAACTGTGTTTTCTTTGTAATGAGTGTATCGGTAAAATATTCTGTGATGTTTAAAGTGATGATAAATAAATAATGATCTTTGAGTTTTCCTGTATACCAATAGATGTAGCAGGTGCAATTCTCTTATGGCCACGTGAACATGCTGTGAATATGCAAACCAGTGAAGTTGTACTACTTACTGCTTGTTTTATTGAGTTTGATTTTTGTTTTGCTTCCTTTTTCAGTGTGATTACTGAAAATCAGACTGCACCTTCATTTCAGATGTTTCATCTCTAACATATCCTGGAGCACAAACATTTCTTTTTGGAAGATTTAATGTAATTTAATCTGTTAAATGTGATCTTCATCTGATCCAACTGGGAAATCTCTGGGTTTGCTATATGTGTTGAGTCTTCAGCTCTCTGAAGTGGAGCTGTATGCTGTTGATTGTCTCTGAAAATCAGTGAGTTTTTCTTAGGTAGTAGTTCATACACGTTCATGTTTTTAAGTCTGTTTTTCTTTCCTGTATTTCAGTTTTCCAATTTGACACCGAATTCTACGTCAGTGGACTTGCACCTCTCTGTGACCAGCTTGTTATACTGTCATATGTAAAGGAGATCTCCGAAAAAACGGTAGTTTTTTATCTCAGAGTTTCTTCACAACATTCATTTGGCCTGTGAGTTGGGCCTTGAACTAGTCATACAAATATGATTATCTGAGAAAAAAATTGTAGTCTGCTGGTAGTGAACAGTGCTTGAAATGTCTCTGATCCATAAAACAAGGTCAGTGGAGGTAAAGTTGAAAACTAATGTGCTTACCTTTCAGAAATCATGTTTGGGTTCCCTTTTTTCTTGTAGAATGCAGAGAAGGTCTCTAGCTAGTCCTTCCTGCTATTTCTTCCTTCCTTTCCTACATGCACCCTCCCCCCCCCGCCCCCACCTCTTTTCTCTCGTTTTCTCTCTTTCTTCCTGATGTTTCTGCATCAGAAGAAATAAAGAATCTTGTTTGGCCATAAGAGGAGCTTGCTGACACTGCATCTCAAAAGAAATGAGAATAGTGAAGTTGATCAACTCAATCATAAGAGTGACTGTGGGGTAGAATGAATGATTGTGAGTCAGTGGTGTCATTATCTCCTAGTTCTTCTAAGATCTTTAGTCGCGTGCACCCAGATCCATCTGTGGAGAGGTAGTAATTAGAATTCTTGTCAGCCATTTTTACTGTGCATGGACAAGTGTCTGTCTCCGACATTGATTTCATAGTGCCAAATAAAGGGCAAGGCAGTGGAGGAAATCGTTGAAGCTGCAGTGTGAGAATGGGAGATGCTCTTGATCATCTCTTTGATAAGCATGTCTGTGTTAGACAACCATCACCATAGTAACCTTAAGAAACTGGGTGCACATGTTGCTAGGCAATGAAATGCTGTAGGCTCAAACTAATTCATAAGCCTTCTGAAATCATTTGGGTTAGCTTCTAGTTCTACTTCAGGATGTCAGATTATTATTTTTTTTATTTATATTAAGGAGAAAAATAATGTCACAGCAATGTTTCCCAAAAGAGACAGCACAGTGTGGGAGAGTCGGTGAAAGACAAGAAAGCAGACAAATGAGATAAGAAAGGGGGAAGAAGTGGTGAGTTGAAATGCTAGGGAGCAAGGAAATTGGGATGCCACTGTTAATGAAAAAGTAGTACAGGAAAGGAGCTAGTGTAAACGAGGTAGTGACTGCTAAAGGTTAAAGTCATTTTAATTGCTTCAGGAAAGAAAGATGAAAAGGGAATTTCAGGTGATATAATGGTAATTGAACATAGCAAAAAGTTTTTCTCATGTATTTGCTTTTAATTAGCCCTTTAAACAAACTCCAAATGCTGGACTTCACTAACTTCTCAGTTCTCTGGGTAGCTGTAGAAGGAACAGAAGTACAATTGTCCGTGATGGTGCATCAGTGTCCTGTTGTGATGGGAACGCCTTTGTTAGTGTCTTGGTTCACTTGTCTTTTTAGTGTGGAGCCCAAACTGCCTGAGCTTGCAGCAGAATTGCTGCTCACTACAAAAATGTACTTTAGTTGCAAGGAACACTTGTCTTCCTACACTTGATTTCACAGCTTGCAAATGACATCTTCTTACTTATTGCAAATAAGGTCACAGTTGAAATTCCTTTGAAAGTTTTTTTGGTTTGGGTATTTTTGTCCTGGAACAGTTAAATTTAGGAAATACCCAAGTGGTGTACTTCCAACTGGGTAGGTTAGAGCTGTTTAAATCTACTTTCTATATGTTCTTGCTCTTTTATTCTATGTTTTGCTATAATTCACAGCCTGAAGTAGAAAATATAGGATTGTCTTGAACCTTGACTTAATTAAAAATGCAGCTAGTTGAAGATAGCAGTTTCACTTGGATAGAAGGTGAAAATCCATTATGTCATCTTACCATAACCACCTACATTGCACTTGAAAGTTCATTTTACTCTAAGTTCATCAGAACAGCAAAGTTTTTATATTATTCTCAGATTAATTTTTCCTTGCTGCTGCTGGCTGCCTAAAATCAAACACCAGCTTCAAAAAAGAAATTAAATAATTATTTTAATACCAGAATACCAGGCTCATAAAGCTCTGTCCTTCAGGGCATGAGCCTAGCTGGGTATGGGTTCTAGATTGTTCTGTTGCTTGTTGAATGAAGCAATTGATAGTCATCTGTGATAGCCCTGAAAACTTCTGTGACCAAGAGCAGAAAAGTAGTGGGCAAACTCAGGGGTAGGATTGGACCTATGTTGTATCTATACCTCCTCCTCCAGACTGATCTCCTTCAAGGAAAGCAAAGAGTAACTTGGATTACTTTTGAGTAATTTTCCTTTGAGTTCAGATGCAATTACTCTGTGGAGTATTTGCAAGTATTTGCAACTTGTATGATTTGCAGCTGAGTAGCCAGTGCAAAATACTGCACCTTTGTGAATGTTTGCAGCTACTGAATTTCAGCCTTGTTTGTAGATGACCACCAGTTGGTATTGCTAAGGTAAATAATATAGGAGGTGACTAAGGTGTCATTTTTCTAGGAAGTGGAGTGTTGTGCAAGGCCTAGACTCGATATTGTACAACCCCTGCTTGAGTCCTGTGAAGAGATCTCTTCTGATGCACTAACAGTACGAGGATTTCAGGAAAATGAATGTCGTGATTATCATTTGGGTAGGTGTTCTCAGTATTGTTTTAGTTTGTTTTCATACCTTGCTTTAAAAAAGATTTGAGTGTACTTAGCCTCCTTTTTCATTTTTATGTCATCTTTTTGTCATCGCCTTGAAATAGCTGTAACTGCTCATGACACTGAAGTGTAGAGTGGAAATCCACAAGAACCAGTCATATGAAAGAAAACAAATGTGTGTATTTAAACATCATGATTTTTAATGCCAGCTATTTAATGCCAGACATACTGGAGAAGGCAGAAGTATATACCTCATGTAATGTTCAGTATTGTCAAAGGCAATATCTTTGAAGGAAATTTATTGAACATATGATCCATAGGAGCTCTTTTTACACAAAGGGCTTCAGGAATATTGAAATGAGTGGCACAATGTCTGGAAAAGATGCTTTGGAGGGAATGATTGAATAAGTATAATTTCAAAAGTAAGATATACGTGGGTCAACTTAAAAGGGGCCCACTGATATTTAGCTTCTCTGTACTGACAAAGCTGCCAGTTATATTACAGACCTCAAATGGTAAATTGGAATTAATAGGAGCTGGATTTTGGCAAGCTTCATCTAGAAGATAGGTTTAGTTATGTAACAGGAAGGGACATTAAGCCCTGGCACAATATATGCCACCCTTTAAAGATGGAATAGTTTTCTGATCTATTGTTGTAGCTCAGAAAAATGCATGGCAAAGCTGATGCACAATTCTTGGTGAAGATTCTGTAGCCTGTGTTATACAGAAGCATTTCTTCTGGCTTTTAAAATCCATTAATTTGAATTTTAAGTATCTCCTCTGGCAGCATGCTTCAAATCATAGGCTTGGCAAACCTCTTTGTGTATGTCTATGCCCTTAAGCCACTAGAAATATAGTATATCTCCTCCTGACCTCAAAAACATCGCTGCTATCAGTAGAACTGGGGTTTCTTTATACATCTTCCAAAGCAGAACATTGATGTCCACAGCTGTACTTTTGTGCTTTATGAATATTCTAGTTTACCTGAAAAATCTAAGTGTTATGTATGGTTTTAAAACAAGCATTATTTTGTGAATTGCTTATCATTTCAGGAGTGTATTTGTCTGTGTTTATAGAAACTGATCTGGACAGTGAATGGTTTTCTATTCTGTACCTACAAAGTATTCCTGTTTCTTCATGGTTCTGTCCAAATGATAGCTATTCAGAGCAGTCATCTTCTGCATTTGATTTGACCTTTTAGTACTTTGTCTTTGAGTTTACTCAAAAATAAAGGCTTATGGTGGAAGAAAATGCATTATACAGATAGCCTTAACTTGCAGCATTGTAAATGCATTGCTGCAATGATGTACTGTGTCCCCAGGGGTTATAGCATCTATCATTTATGATTTTGATGGCCTTGACCTTGATGCGAAGGATAAGTTTATTGCAGGCTGTGTAGTGTAATAGTCCTCTAAAAGTATAATAATGGGTTCTAAACCATCATAAAGTTTACACATAGTGGATGAATCGGAATTTGCAATAAGTTGTAGTGGTTTTTTAAAATATATTTTGCTATTTAAACCAGTTTTAATTTATTGGGGAATATAGCATCCAAACTAGTGTGTCCTGCACAAGTAGCCTTGCTGTCTTCCTCATTGTAAATTTCCCTTAAGGGTATGCTAAAAAGAAGAACTTTACTTAAAATATAATAATAATAATAAAGCTGTGTATGCATTTGCAGAATATTCAGAAGGTGAATCACTTTTTTATATCATCAGCCCAAGAGATGTGGTTGTGGCCAAAGAGCGGGACCAAGATGATCACATTGACTGGCTTCTTGAAAAGAAGAAATACGAAGTAATTTTTACATCATTCTTTCCTTCAGACTTTCCTTGTTTGGAAATTGGAGTAGGATGATGGACTTTGCTAGGTCATTTGGACCATTCCTGTTCCTACAGTCATTGAATAAATGCTTGTAAAGGATGGGAGTTAACTATACATTACTCCATCTCTTACAGAGTTAGTCTTACTACTGAAACAACTAATCAGAATTTCACCCAAGTGAGGTAGCTGAATTAGATGCTGAAAATACTGCTCTCATCATCAGTTATGAAATGTATTAGCTGACACTGAAAATTATTAAAGCTGGGTTTTGGCTTTAGAACTGCAGAAGAGTTAACTAATGAGCTGCGCTTTTAAAAGTAAAATACTATGGTCTTAAATTGTGCCTACACATGCTCAAAGTAGTGTTGCTCACAATAAAGCTGTTCCAGTATTAAAAGAGGAGGGTATACAGCTCTCTTGGAAAAAAAACAACTCACCATTTGGTTGCATAAATATTGGTGTTTCAGTATGTTATCTAAACACCTAAAGCAATAATAAGTTCTTTCATACCATATAAACATGCACACAGTGGTCTGAATTCTAATATCCTGCATTTATTGACTTAGAACATTTGTTATGATGCATAAAGTTAACTTGCAAATTCTAATTTATGTTTGTTCTGTGCCCATTAAAAGAAAAAAAAAAAGTGGAAAAGCCATTCAGCTTGTATTGCTTTTGCTAATATAATCATGATATTTCTCATGCAGTTTTGTTTAAATCCTTGTAGATGCTTTTGCATTGGAATAGCAAACTTGTATGATGAGTGCAGTTTTGCAATATATGTAAATCACAGCATTTGGTCCCTGAAGACTCCAGTAATTTGCAAGTGACAGCTGTGTATGTTCCTTTATGAAAGCCATTCAAGTTAGTAGACAAGCCTGTTATGATATATCTTAAAGGTTTAGTTTTTATTTGTAAAAGTGCCAGCTTTTTTTCTATAAGTTCAAAAAAGTAGAAGAACAGCAAATGACACTTAAATATAAATCTGACTGAAGAAGACATTTGGGCTAGGAACTGGAAGGTAGCTTTCCCCCATTTGCCCCTTTTCCTGTTGATTTTTTCCACAGGTTTTGGTAGTGAAGAGGTCTCTTTTGAAAGTGATCAAATGTGATTGCATTGTGTGTTTTGTTGTGATTTGATCTTAATATAATCATGTGGAGTGAACCCAGATGGAAACAAAAGTAGTTTGCTCTTTGCTTGACTGCTTTTGTTTGAGTATGAATTCAAAGCTGTTCATCCAACCATGGCATTAAAAATTCTGGTGTTTCCAACACCCTACTCCGAAAAACAGTTGATTTATACAGTTCTAGAGCTTTCTGTATTGAAAGATTTGACTGGTATCTCTGTTTTCTCCTTTTTGAATATAGGAAGCTTTGATGGCAGCTGAGATCAGTCAGAAAACCATAAAAAAGCACAAGATTTTGGTACGTCCCAAAACTTCTATTCAAAATAAAGTATCTTCTTTCTTTTAGAATGCTGTGAGATGCAACAAATACATTCCCTGTTTTTTATAACACCAGGCAATAACTGTTAGGCATACTCCAACTGGCATCCAATTTCTTGGTTTCAGCTTCAGAGCAGGAGTGTTAGTCCATGAAACATGAAAAGATCTACATTTTATGCAGGTGCTATTGGCATCGAAAGGAAGAGAATTCCATTTCTCTGATTGCTGATGGGGGTTTTTGTTTGCTTTTACTTCTCTAATAAATTCACTGTGGTTTGAAGTAACACACATTGTTTCACTATCGGAGATTGCAGGCAGGAGTGACAAATTTCTCCTTAACTTATACCTCGTAAATGTGACAGGATTTTGTAAAAAGTTTAAGAGATACTCCTTTTCTCACACATTTATTTCCTATGTTTATAGTCCCTTTCACAGAGCACAAGGGGTATCAATGTTTAGAACAAAAGGGGAAATGGTGTAATAGACACAAAATTGTCACTAATTTTAGCTTTTGTTTGTTTGCTTTTGTTTAAATTCACTAATACTGATGTTGCTTTTAATTGAAATCTGTACAAAGTGTTCAAGATGTGTTTAATTTTTTGCCAGATTACTCGTATTATAAACATGCTGCATATCAGTATGTCTTAAAAACTTTTATTCTTGTGTAGTCCAGAAGCTGAATCAAGATTTAAATGGCATGCCATTACCTATCACAAAGTTTACATTTAACAAAACTATTCTGTGACCCTTGCAAAAGATGTAAAGAATTGTTAAAGGCGGTCCTGGCAATGCATTAGGAGGAAAAAAAGAAAGCCAAACAGACAAACACCAAACTAAATAAAGAAACCTCACAGATTTTCTTTTGCTTTGCAGAAATTTGCTCTGCAATAAATGATTAAATTCAGTGAGATACAAGCAGTTTTTGAGAGTTTGGTCTCTAAAGCAAAAGCCAACAGAATGTGTTGAGGAAACAAAATGTTGACATGAAGCCCTAAGTGAAAGATTAGTGGTACACGGATTTGAAACAACTCATGCTCTCACTGCCTAGTGACACCACACTCAGGATACCTGACACATCAGGTAGCCTTGGGGATTTTTTAGATGGAACTAATTATCACTGCTCCTCTGCACCTCTTGAGCAGAGCACAGAGATCCTAAAACAACCAGATCTACATCTCTTTTTCTTCTACATCTCTGCTCACTGGGAAGCTGGTCCACAGGAGAATTGAAGATTTCTGTCAGCCTCTTTCTTAGGAATGGTGAAGTTTAAAATATGAAGGTGGTTCCTAAACTCCTGTGTATGTGCATTTTTTTCTAACTTTGTAGTAGATTGACCAGTTGAAGTTGTTGCATACCCGTATTCATATTCTGTTATGGTCAATACTGTCCTTGATATTGATAAAAGAATTGTTATGCCTCGGAAGATGCTAATGTTTAAATTTTTTTTAAGAATCAAGGACTTCTTTTTTATTGTACAGCTTTATTTTTTTCTTTTCTCCTCTTTTTTTTTTTCTTTCTAAAAACAATGTGCTTTTTTTAGTGATGAGATTCTTAAGTTAAGCAATGAATATGCTGCGTTGTGTCAAAATGGACATGAGTGTTGAGATTACATTAGGAGGCTCATTCCAAAATTTTAATATATATTAAATGCATATCAGAAATATTTTACAACTTATTTGTGTGATGAACTTTGAGAAAGAAAATTTGTATGTAATAACTAATAATCTTGTTAAGTTCTCAGTAATTCCTGCTCTTTATTGAGCAGCATTAGGATTTATATTCTCAACCAACTTTTTGCCCTCCTCTGCAAACTGTGTTGACAAAGAGCATGTCTTATACAATGACTGGTGGTTTTCTTTCTGAATTAATTCAAGCACAGCAAGATCAGCTATGCATTTCAAACAATCCTTAATAATTAGAGGTGGTAGTCTTCTCAGCATCAGTGAGGTTATGAGAATTATTTAAAAGAGCACTTTTAGTTGAACCTGTGAGCAGTCTGTGGAATTATTTTGTATTGACTGTTCTGTGGGTCCTACTTGTAAAGGAGAATCAGGGGATGCACTTAGAGCCTTGAATTTCCAGCTGTATGCACTACTGTTACAGTAGTTCTGTACAGTAGTCAGGTAGTTCACTTCCAAACTTTTATAACTAATTCTCTGGTTTTATTCCCTCTAGGACATTGGCTTAGCCTATATAAATCACCTGGTGGAGAAAGGAGAGTATGACCTGGCTGCTCGGTAATCTAGTATTAAAGATCTTCTTTGCTGGCTAAAGTGTGTCTGTGTGGCGGAAAATCAAAAATAAATTATTAATTCTTAAGTATTTGCGCATGTTGATTTTCTCTGTGCTCTGGAATTTCTGAAGTTTCAAAACATAGAGGTGTATTGCAGTGCCATATATTTTTTTGCCTGTAGTGACCTAAAAATTTTAACTGGAATCCAGGCATATATTTTTGAAAGTAAGCCTTGATTTTTCAAAGTCACACTAGATTTTCAAAACTAAGGTTTTCTTTGGATTTTGATAAACTCAGTTTATTAGTGTGTCATTGCACATAAGACCATCAGAAAATAATTTGATTTTGTGTAGGTATAAATAATAATGTCAAATATGAGAATCTAAAGTAAGGATCAGAAATTATCCAAGGTTTTTGTTTTCATGTACATGTAAGCGTAAGCATATCTTTTTAAGTGTTCAGTTTTTCTCAGCTGAGATTTAAAGGCTTCACTCATAAAGCTGACCAAGAGGGTGGCATCTCTGCCTATGGTGTGTGGATTTCAACTAGATGATGTTTAAGCTCCCTTCCAATCCAAACCATGCCATAATTCTATGAAAGCTAATATGGCCCTAATCACTAAGGGTGAATGCATAATAAGCAGTTAGTCATCTCGGATGCAACAAAATTTTAAGATTTGAAAGGAAGAGAGCCTGGCATACTCTACTTAAAGTGGTGGTTGCCAAAATAAGTCACTTTTACAAGTGTCATGATAGGGAGAAGAGGAAAGGAATCCTTGCAGTAATGCTGTCACCTTTGTATTACTTTCCGTACCTACTTTTGTTCTCATCTCTTTCATTTTCCTTGCAGAAAGTGCCAGAAAATCCTTGGCAAAAACACAGAACTCTGGGAATTTGAAGTTTACAAGTTTAAAGAAATAGGTCAGCTTAAAGTAAGTTAATTTTTGTGTTTGCACTCAAGTAATTTTTATGTTGTACTTACTGTTTGTATCTAAAGCATCACATTTAATGGGCCTGTTCTGGTATTGCTGCCCCAGATCTCTGTTTGTTTCTAGACAGCTGTCTTTCCGATTGATGTGTAAATTACTTAAAACAAGATTGGAGGCACAGTGCTACATATTTTACTTGTTGGCAGTCTCCAACGTGAAATACCCACCCCCAAAGCTTTTACTTGCTAAGATGCTCACAGTTAAATACATCTTTCCCATTTACTTTTCATTCGTTTCCAGTATGTCCTAAAAATACTCCCCCAGGTATTATGGAAACTAGACTATGTGGGTGCCCATCATTCTGGCAAATCCAGGTCCATTGCAAGTTTAAGTGTTAAGGAATTGCAAAGCAGCAGTGAAAACCTATGCTGTGTGCTAGAAATGGTGGTGAGAAAGAGGAGCAGTCTGCACTGCTTGGTGTTTTCCCTAGTTGCAAGCCATCTACTACAACAGTACACATTTAATGTGAGAGTCTCAGTTAATAAATTGCATAGGACATAAAACCTAGTACTGTCACTGCTAAACCAATTGAAAACTTTATGCACACTCCCTTTGGTAACATGTGTACATTTACTTCTGAATTTTATGTCTTCCTATTCAAACTCAATGTGCCAAAAAGGAAATACTATTAAGATCTCACAGCATGCAGTCCCTTGCTGGTTTTGAGCTATTTAATTCTGTTCAAAGACCAAAAGTGTTTCAGCATTACGAATTTCAGAAATGTCTGACTTCGGTTTCAGGGCCACTCCAGTGCATAAACAGCCTTGCCTTTAATATGACTTCCTTGTGGTTTGGTGCATTCTTCACTACTTTGGAAGATGAAATCCTATGTTTCTGTTTGTTTATTTCAGTCCAATAAAGGACTTGAATGCAGGTACAGGTGATTTTTTTATACACTGCTTCTTCTTTTTGGTTCATTTTCTTTTTTAGCTGCAAATATCTGGAAGGATGTTTGTGTTGTCTCCACTTACGTCTTCCAGCAGACTGTAAAATACAAAAATATTTGTAGGTTTGTTGCAAAAACATCTCACCTCAATTACCGCTTTTCTAAACAGTTGGCTGTTTTCAGCCTTTAGAATATCTCTTTTCTTCTTAGAGCCTAGGTCCAGGAACTCTCAGGAATACATGAGATGCAGTCCATTACATTATTCAGCTTTAAGTTGCAGTTTTAGAAAATGCCTGCCTTATTTCACTATTTCAGTTGCATATGACTTTTCCCAGATTTCTACAGATGTCTGAGTGTCATAAAGGATGAACTAAATTAAGCCAGATCTAAATGAAGGGGTCCTTGTAATGCTTGGGATCACTTGTGTGGAATTTTTACCTACTTACGCGACTAGCAGATATTAAACACCATATTGTAACTGGCCTATAATGGCTTTCAGCCCTGATGAGGAGACTATTGAGATGTGGAAATAGAGTTTATTTCAAAACAGAATTATCTTGGAAGAACTTGCACTGCTTATAAGTTGTTGCCTGAAGTCTGATTTTTCAAATCTAGCATTATTTGCCTATAACTAAGGTGACAGTAAACTAAAATTGAAATTTCCTTCCTGCTCAGAGGAATTAGTGATACCCCAATGTCAAATTCTATGGGATGAGTGTTGTTGTTTGTGTGTGATTTTAGGGGGGTTTTGAGTGTTCTGTATTAAGCAGTCCTGTTTGGCTACCAAAGGTTGCATTTTGATATCTTGATGTCTCTCGTCTTCAATGAACATCCTCTATGAAACCTAGTTGTGTCGGTTTCAAGACTCTAGAGCCTTGCAGTGATCTGTTCCTCTCCTGCTCCAGCAGTGGTGGCTTGAGGAAGTTACATGCTTGTGCTGCCTTTTGCCCAACTTGGAAATGAAACTCGGCATAATTTTAGTAAGGAGGTAATATAAAAGAGAATTGTTATTTGAAGGCCTTCAGGAGCAGTTATGGAAAGGTGTCCACAAAAGCCCACCCCTACAGGAATGAGTACACATTTATAGGTTTTAGGAAATTAGCATAATTGATAAAAAGCACCAATTAGGAGGACACGTAGTGATGCAATTCCACCCCAGGTCAAGCCTCTTCTCTGGAGCCCCTCCTTCAGCACTAGTTGTACTTTGTCCATGAGAATGTATCTCCAAGAGTTATTCTTGGCCTTGGTTCCTAGGAAGAACCAAGAGGGCCTTGTACCTCCTGGGGCTTGGAGCTCTGGAATTTTTGTCTTTTTGCTTAAGGAAAGGCCATGGAAAAGTACTGGGAAAACTAGTCACTAATACAATAGGTGACAGAGTTACAATATATGTGTGAAGAATACAGAGAACATAGAAAAAAAGGCAAAACCCAAATGGCATCACTTGTGCTCAAGTCACTTCAGTATAAAATCTAATGTCTCAGCTCAAGCAGCTGAGGAAGGTGGGTGGATTCAAAGGAAGGTTTCAAACTCTGTGAGTGCTGGCGGTTGTGGCATGGGGGATGCCCTCCATTATGTTGGCTGTGACAGCAGTGACTTACAGCAGTGGTGCAGGATGATCAGCTAGCAGCAGCAGTGCTTTAACCAAAACACTGGACGGAAGACATTTGAAAGACTTCACTGGACTGTAGCAGGCATAGCAGAGAGAAGCACTATCCTGACAGGCTCTTTCATCTCTTAGATAGCCTTTAAGGAATACATAATTGTTGTTCTCACCTTATTGGTGAGATAGTTTAGGCTATCTCATGTCAACTTTTATATGGGTTTTCTTGTGTATACCTCATGCTCACATTTATTGATGAAAAGTCTGAAAGCAGATCTTGAAAAGAAACAAGTGAAGAAAATATTTGTCTGTATTGTATCCCTTTTTTATTTAAAGTCACTTTACCCCATAGTTTAAGAATTGGTACAAAGGCTATCTGATTCAGAGGCTTTTTTGCCTGATCTTGTTCCCTAACTGCAGCTTAAAAATAAAATAGGAAGAGTTTGTGACCTCTAGCATGGGTCACCTTTGTGCCAAGGCTTAAAAATAACTTGTATGCTTCTTACGTGCTTCCTGTATGCTTTCCTGAGCATGGTGGTCAAACTGCAGGAGGTGGCTGTGTTTTTTCTTCAAAACAATGGGACATGGGGCAGGAGACGTTTCCTGCACAAAGCAGCTGGGCTCACACACAAGGAAACTACACCTCTCCAGAGCTTGCTGTATGGCTAAACTGCAGCCAAGAGTTGCAACAGCCTGTTGGGGGAGGTTGTTCATTTAGGAGGTAACAGGAAGGTGGAAAGTGGGAGTGAAAACAGCCATTGGAGATTGTCTTCTGCCTTTGAGTCTCCAGTTAATGTCTAGCTTGCTTTCTCCATGGTCAAAAGATACTTTTTAGGAAGGGGTCAGGAATATGATACCCCATAGCAGCCATCAAGACTGTACCCTGAGTTAACTGATAAATCCTGTGACAGCTGGTGGGAGCTGATGTTGGCAGCACTACATTTCAAAAACCGGCCAAGTCCAAACAGCATAGGGAGAGGAGAGGTCTAAAATGTAGTGAGATGGTTTTTTTCCTGCTTTGTTCAAGCAACTTCAGTAACAAAATGCTATTGTACTATGTGCCAATAGCGGGCAATGGGCAACATCTCTGAGTGTTTGGAGAAATTTCGCTAGTGTTGGTCCCTCAGCTACAAACCCTACAATCCCCAGACAGCTAGCAGTGGAATTTATTTTGGCAGGTGGAAATAATCTTGGCCTCTAGTTGCATGGAATAGTAGTGCTAATTAGATGCTGTGCTGAAATTCCAGGGTATGAACTGATTTATTCTGGCAGCTTCTCATATCTTGCTTGCTGGAATGCAATTCCTTAACACCTTCTATACAGTAACAGATCATATGCCTTCACCCTTTTCATGGAGAGATATATTTTCAAATTAATTTTCAATTGCATATGTAAAAATAGCCCTTCATAGAATGTGGTGACCCCAAAGTAAGTCATAATTCAAAATTACGCATATATTTTGCTTGCATGATCAGGTTCTGATAGTGGGAGTACTACAGTAGTGGCTTCTGTGAGAAGCTGGCAGAAGCTTCCCCCATGTCCATCAGAGCCAATGTCAGCCAGCTCCAGGAGGGACCTACTGCTGGCCAAGATCAAGCCAATCAGGAATGATAGGAACTCCTCTGCAATAACAGATTTAAAAACAAAGAAAAAAAGTTATTGCGCAGTTGTGACTGTGACCAGAGAATAACTGAGTGATAATATGAGAGAGGAAACAACTCTGCAGACACCAAGGTCAGTGGAGAATGAGGCACCAGAGCTGAGATTCCTCTGCAGGCCATGGTGAAGACCATGAAGCAGCTGTGTCTCTGCAGCCTATGGAGGACAAAGGGGATGCAGAGATCCACCTGCAGCCCATGTAGGAGCCCATGCTGGAGCAAACTGTGCCTGAAGGACTGCATCCAATGGAAGAGTGACCCAGACTGCAGCAGTTCATGGGGAACTGTTGCCCATGGGATGGATTCATGTTAAAGAAGTTTGTGAAGACCTGTCTCCTGTGGGAGGGACCCCAGGCTGGAGAAGGGGTCTGAGCAGCAAAAGAAGCAACGTGTGATGAGCTGACAATCATTCCCTGTCGATCAATCCCCATTCCCTGTCTTCCTGTGTTTCTGGGGTGAAAGAGGTAGAGTCCAGGAAGGAGGAATGGATGGGGGAAGGTGTGTTTGAGATTATTTCACTTCTTATTATCCTGCTCTGGTTTGGTTATTAATAAATTCAGTTAATATCCCAAATGTGAGTCTGTTTTGCTATTTGATGGTATTTGGTGAGTGATCCTTGGATCTTATCTTAACCCATGAACTCTTTGTTACATTTTTTCTCCTCTGTCCAGTTGTGGAGGGAAGTGAGAGAGTGGCTTTGTTGGATACCTGGTGGCCAGTCAGGGTCAATCCACTACAACACGTTTTTCAGCTAATGAATCCTTATACCTTTTTAAAAGGCCAAGACTTAACAAAATGGATTTTGAAAACATTCTTGTTCTGAGGAGTCTTTTATAGGTTTTGTTTTCTAAATGAGTACTGGTCTCTTAAGGACAATGGCTGATTTTCCTACCCTAATTAGTATCTTGCCACCTGTCTCTCAAATGATAGTTCTTTCAAGCGAGTTATAGAATTCCAGTGTGTATAATCCTAAAGTAAATAATTTCTGGATGCTGCTTACAAGTATGAGTTTCCAGTGATTAACAGGGGCCATGTTTTGCGTATAGCCTTGTTCTTTTGTTTCACAACTTTTTTTTTCTATCAGTGTACATGTCATTCACCATCTGATACTCTGTTCTCTATGTTCCTATAGGCAATTAGTCATTACTTGCCAAGACGAGATCCAGTTTTGAAACCTCTGATCTACGAAATGGTCCTGCATGAATTTTTGGAAAGTGACTATGAGGTACTGCAGCCTGATGTGTCCACATCAATGTGTCCCATAGTTATTGCCAGCCAAATACCCTTAGCAGTAAAGAATTCTGGCAGCAAATTCTCTGATGTATTCAAGCAGATTATCAGTGGAGAGTTCCACAATAATGACAATATTTAAAAGTTGAATTTTAATTTTAAGATAATAAATAGAATGTTTTTCAAAGCATGCAAATACAGTGAGACGGATTATTTATTAGACTGTTATTTTTAGGTTTTTTAATGTAGCATAAGTGGTTGAGGTGGTGCACAAAGCCTACAGCACCTGAAAGAGACTCATCTTCATGAATCGTAATAACATTGCCCTAAGAAGGAAAAATCTGTGTTCTGCACTGTACGTCTGTGGGCACATGAAAGTTCCTTAAAGGTTAAGGACAGCAGATATCATCTCAGAGGTTTAGCTGAAGCTTTGATGTTTTGAAATGCTCCTTAGGCCATTCTTTCTATTTCTGTTACAATCTCTTATACTTTTAGGGGTTTGCAACCCTAATAAAAGAGTGGCCTGGAGATCTGTACAACAACACAATCATAGTTCAAGCTGTAGTGGATCACCTGAAGAAAGATCCACAGAACAGGACTTTGCTACAAACACTTGCAGAATTGTAAGTACAGTTTTAAATTCCTGTTACAAAAAGTACACTTAAAATAGTGTACTGCAGTTTATCCATATTTGTTTAGCTCTTGTAACAGAAATCTTCTTTGCTGCATCTACAGAGTGTTGGCTTTCTCTCCTCTACACTCTGCTGATTGCACAGCTTAGCAGTTCTTTACCCTTCCTTGTAATGTTCACAACGAGTATGAAAGCAGTATGAAATTGTTAAGCATGAGATTGGATTTCCAGCTCCTCTTTCCAAAGTAAATAACTAACATTTCTCTTCATGCTGTCAGAGGAAACCTCTTTTCTGAAGTGTGCATTTCAGAAATATGCATGTAAAAATAAAATGGTGGGTGGTTTTGTCCAGTATTTAAGAAGTAGTGTGTTTAGGTTTACTGCATGGATGGAAATATGTGACTGGAAAATGTGCCAAAATTGGTCTGATTGGCCACTTCATACAGGGATAAAGCTCTTTGATTTTCTCAGCCTGATCATTGTTATTTTTTTACTGCTTCTTTGAAGAAAGAAGAGTTACTGTCTATTGCTATGTTAAAATCTGCCCAAAAGTTTTAAGAGAACAATGTTTTTTTAGCTTTGAAGAGTGTTCCAAGAATTGAAAGGCTAGTATTTTGTGTGTCTTCCCCTGTGAGTTGAAAATGGAGAATGAAAATGCAGAAAACTGCAGGTCTGAATACATATGAAGGCCAGTATAAACAGAGGTGAAATTACTGTTGCCTGATGTTTATTTCCCTTTACAAAAATTAATCACAGGTCTGTTTAGATATTTATAAAATCAAGTAGTATCATAACGTTTTACATACTAGAGTATGTTTATATTTTCTCCCATATGTGATTTTCCTACACTTAAGTATGTAAAATTACATGTATTGTAATCCTGTTTTTATCAGGTACACTTACGATCAGCGCTATGGCAGAGCCCTAGAAATCTACCTAACTCTGAGGCACAAAGATGTCTTCCAGTTGATCCACAAGCACAATCTCTTCAGTTCTATTAGAGACAAAATTGTTCTGCTCATGGATTTTGATTCAGAGGTATACTGATCCTAATGATTTTATATTTACTTTCCTCTAGATACAATTTAACAGATTAAAAATAAATTATCTATAGATGATGTTGAGGCAGAGAGTGTGTTTGCTGCATCTTGGTAAATTCTGAGATAAGGAAGATTGTTTGCCTAGATTGCAAAATAATTGACCCAAGGATTATTTTTTCCTTCATATTTCCATTTGTGTTTCCTTTCCATTTCCATTTGTCACTCTTAGTGAGAAAAGTGAGTGTCCACATCATTTGAGAACATTGTTGTGGTTCTCAAGTCACAACATTGAACATCATTTCGCACAGAGTATAATTTCACCATGTTATTCTGTCTGTATTTTGAATCAAATAATGGTATTAATAAGCCAAAGAAAGGAGATAGTGAATTTATTTAAGCATATATTAAATGCGCTTGCCATTTTCCTTTCATCACAGAAAATTAATCTGCTTCTGAAAGTATACAAGGTTATTAACCTAAATTCTGAAAATCAGGAAGTGTTCATTCCATGTTGAATTCTATCTTCTTTCTTTCCAGTTGGCTGTAGAACCCAAGCAAATTAATTTTGATGTGATCACTGGGAAGATAACCAAGTAGATCTCTTTTTTCAGTGCAATAGTTGTTTAAGCACTGTAGCTAAAATATGGTTCTCTACTATTGGTGATACTATTGGTGATCATCTTTACTATGCCCATTTTTCTCCATTCATGGAGAAATAATTTTTTTTAATCCAATAGAATAAGTCGTATCAGGAATCCGTGGTTTGGTATTTTTTGAAAGTGAAGCAAAAGCTTGCTCTTGAAAGAGGAAGCAGAATCTGAATCCTGGTGGCCACTTGGCTTACACGGTCTTGTCTGCTTGATTAATGGTATTTGTCTCCAGGTAGTTTGGAGGAATCCAGTTGTGAGGTAGGTTGAATTGTGTGTTTCTTACATAGTCATCACCCTGCAGTTCCCTTTTGAGATGGAACAAGTGGTATTTCTACATCATTTGGCAGTAGCTTTTTGCTACTGTGTAGGTGCACAGCATTTACTGCTATTAATGAGGGAACTTAAGAGAAGTATTCTGGAAGAATACTGTGGTGCTGTGCTGTCAGGATGCTGATGTTATGTAAGTTGCTCTCTGAATTTCTGTTGCTGAAAAGAGTAGGTCTGTCCATCTGATGCCCATCAGTGAATAAGCATAATACTATGTAGAGTGTAAGAAAATATGTGTACCTGTTACCTACTTCAGTTCTCTTTCTCTGTTGTAGAAAGCGGTAGACATGCTTTTGGATAATGAAGATAAAATTTCTGTGAGTATAACAAGTTCATGGCATGGCAGTCCTTTTTCCAGTCTTGTAAATGTGATGTTTATTAAAGGTTTGTTTTGTTTCAGATTGACAGAGTTGTTGAAGAATTAGAAAATAGGCCTGAGTTACAGCATGTGGTAAGTATTCCTGCATTCTGTTGATTTCAAGTACAGCTGAGTAAACTCTTGGCTGGACATACCTTTTACAGGTGTGTTTATCTTGTCAAATGATGAAATGTCATAAACTATCAGAGAAAAAGTGGCTACTTCTGCCAGTTTCCTATTTAGCATGGCTATAGCCTCTTCACAGTAGTTAAATGATCTTAAAATGTGTACCTGTGAGAATTTGATAACATAATGTAGGCCTGTTAACATCTCCTTACAACATTGTAGGCACTTGTCTTTTCTGGTCAATTACTTCTTGCTTTTATTCCTCCTTTTTCCCTACCCAAAAATGGGATTGGTTGGTGGGTGCAGCTCTAAAATACATTTTGCTGATCCATAGAGAAAGTGAATTGCTTGTTTTTCTGGAGCTGTAACTTCCATACACTATCGAATTGTTCTTGTTTGTACAGAATTACAGTATCACTGTAAGGCTGTGGCTGCACAATGGTATTCCAAAAGCTCCTCTTTGGTTTGAACATCCTGTCAGTGGAGTACCTAATATGTGACTGTGGGCTTGGGCTGTATTAGAGAGGGAAGTTTAACTTGCTGCTGGTTACAAATAGAGCTCAGGTGTTCATCTGGTGAAGAGGTGATTTATGGGTTAGAGGTCTGATTATGGGAAGCAGATCTATGAAAAGTGCAGTCCACAGCCCAAGAGCTTTGCAAAGTCAACTGTGACAGACTGTCAGTTTACAGAAGGGATGCATACAGAGGAAAGCAACGAAGATAGTCAATGATCTAGAGGAGAAGCCACACAAAGAGCAGCTGAGATCACTTGGTTTTGTTCAGCCTGGAGAAGAGGAGACTGAGAGGAATCCTTGTAGCTATTTACACCATCTTCACAAGGGAAGCATCAGCAGGCACTAATCTTTTCTCTGGTGACCTGTGACAGGACCCAAGGGAACAGCATGAAGCTGTGTCGGGGGAGGTTTAGGTTAGATATTAGGAAAAGCTTTGCCCACTACAGTGGCTGGGCACTGGAACAGGCTTCAACTCTGGGGAAGTGGTCACAGCATCAAGCCTATCTGAGTTCAAGAAGCATTCGGACAATGCTCTCAGGAACATGGTGTGGTTCCTGGGGCTGTCCTGTGCAGGGCCAGAAGTTGGAATTTGATTATCTGTGTGGTTCCCTTCCAACTCAGGAGTTTCTATTATTCCATAATAATATTGAATACGTGAGTTTTAATATGATTCTTTTTTGATTCCTAGTATTTACACAAGCTTTTCAAAAGAGACCACCATAAAGGCCAACGATATCATGAGAAACAGATCAGCCTTTATGCTGAATATGATCGACCAAACTTACTTCCATTTCTCAGAGACAGCACACACTGCCCATTGGAGAAGGTAAGCCCCAAAAATCTAAGCATCGGTGCTTGATTTTTATCAAGGTCCTGATCTGTAGCTTGTAATCTTGTGAATTTCAAGCTGTGTCTGGTACTGCCCTCTACTGCCAATATGAGGGATCCTTTAAGTTTGTGACCATCACCTTCAGTTTGGTTTGCAGAGCTGATGACACCTGAGACTTTCCTCTCTCAGCTCACAGGGCAGGAATTGATGGGTATTTTTAATGCAGAAGTTCTGACTACAGTTCTGACTACAGTTCTAGCTACAACATATCTACTCATCAGTGCTTAGCCTGACTGAACAGTAGGTTATGGGTTCAAGAAATTGACAATCATTTTGCCAAATCTAGGAGCTGTCAGTGTTAGATCTTGAAAAACCAGTAGCTGTAACTGTAGTTATTCTATCTTTTTATTGTAAGGCCATAAGTTTCTGTTTAATAATATACACAGTATACGTCACTGAGCTAACAGGGCTAAAGTATTTTGTCTTTGTAATTCGGCTGATACACTTGGGGTTTTACAGAGTACCAGGTTTCCATCTTCCAATATTTTTGTATTTTTTTCTATTTTCCTTCCTTGCTATTTCTTGTCAAATTACAAAATGCATAATGGTAAGGCTAATCTTGAGTTGTTTCCCCTGCTTGAATTAATGTGAAACAAATGGAAATTCCAAGTTTTCCAGTTTAGATGGGTCACTATTTTATTATTTGTATTTGTTGCTGTTAATGGCTGAGCAGAGCAGACCTTGTGAAAGCCTATCCATATGCAGGTATAATGATGACACAGTAGAGTAGTTTATACAGTGTAATATTGAATGTGGTATTTTACATGATTAACATTCTAAAGAAAACTAGTACTGTTCCTGGTACCTCTCTTGTTTTGCATGCTTTTGTCTACTGGAAAATACTTTCTTAGATTATTATATGTTCTTAGATTGGAGACTTGGGATTTTTTGAAACCATTATCTGAAACTAGATTGACTAGTTTAGGCAGTGAGCCTGAGAGGTTTCCAGCCAGAAACTTTGGTCGACAATATTGACTTACTTGTTTTTAACTTTCTGATTATTAGTTTCTGCCTTATGTATTAGTTATGTGATTGTGGGTTTATGTATAAAACCTCACCTGCATTTTTTTTTTTATTTTGAGGCAAATTAATTTTAGTTATTGCACATCCAGCCTCCTATCTGTAGTGGCAGGTGGTGCAGAAAAGTGCTGTGTGAAAATGATGCTCATTGCTGGCATTGCTTTGCTGAAGATATGGGCTATGAGCAAGAATAGGTCAGAGACCCATCAGCTTCTGGAAGGTGTGGTGCAGTAATCACCAAAGTCAAGAGAGAAGGATGTCAAAAAAAATGTATAATTCTAGCCTTAATGGTAAAAATGTTAACATCTTTCAGTAAGAAGCTAAGGAAGAGACAAAAAGATAGTGTTAATTCTGTAATTATACTTCTTATCATGCTTGTTGTGTAATAACACTTCTCGTGACATACAGATCTTTGTTCTAAGAAATAGAAAAGGGGACTAAGAATTTCCCAGTTACCGCTATTTTCAGTTCCTGTTAAGCAAGTTCAACACGGTGTATAAATTGCAAAAAGAAATTTCTGTTTGAAAAAATCCACTCTTATTATTGCTCAAATGAAATTACAAACTCATCAAAATGAAATAATTTGTGCTCTCTAGAAGTAAGCCACTTTTAGTCAAGTGCAGTTTAGCAAACATTTAAAAATTAGCTGTTTTCCTCTGGAGGGAGCATGACAGTCAGAAATAGCAGTATCGAGAACTACTGAATACCTGGTGCTTTGTAGTTTACCTCTTAAGTGGAGAGGAAAAAGAGGGCTGTCAGCTGTGTATATAACTTACTAGCATTATTCATATCTTCATTCATCTGAAGTATCTAGTTGGTAATTCACTTACCCCTAGCCTAAAATTTGTTGTCCATACCTCTGATCTTCATAGTAACCCTTCTGAAAAAAACGAGAATTTGAAGGAAAGTAAATTCCTACCTTATCTTTGATTGTAGCTATACTTTAGGTATTTATTGATTTCCAAATGTGAAGGTTGGTGAACAGTTGTCTTTACAGGAATGCTATGAATCTTGAGTTTGCTTTCTGTTTCTGGAAACAGACATGGCATTGTTTATGGCATACCAGCCCAGCTGATTTCTTATTACTACAAACTCAATGGTAATCAGTTTGGTAGTTTTTATAATTGTGCTGGTTTCCAACTACACACAGATTCTGTAGCTGCTGAAGATACTTAGCCCTCAGGTCTTTAAACCAAATTTACAAGAAATGCTTCCTCCATATTATTTCATATTTCTTATTTTGCATTGTCTTCTTGGTACAAAATTTGGAGGGCACTCTCTCTCCTGAAACCACTCTGGCCTGAGGAGATTTTCACCCTTGTCGTATTAATGAATGTCAAGCAGACTACCATCACTAGAGAAGAGACTACACAAGTCCACCCATAGGAAGCAAGTCTTAATAGCAGATAACCTTAATGTTTTGTATTAACCAGCTTTTGACTTTTGGAGGCAGAATGAAGAAGTTGCCAGTGGAATTAAAGGCAGAGTTTGACATAGTCCAGACTGAAATACCTGTTCTGTTCCCAGATTTATTCAGTCTCAGAGAAGAATTTTAAAGAGAAGTCACAAAGTTTCTTAATTAAGGCCAGAGGACTTGGCAGTGCTTATTAAGGAAGCTGCATTCCTGTCAAGATGAATAATGTAACTTCATGGAAAAATCACTTCAAGCTTCTTGCAGCATTTGTGATCAATAAAATTTCGTGTTGCATAGTTTCCTTATATTCTCTTCTCTCCCCTTACATTCAAGGCTCTTGAGATTTGCCAGCAGAGGAACTTTGTAGAAGAGACAGTCTATCTTCTGAGTAAGTAACTCAGAATAAATAACTGTGATCAATTATAACAATTTTAAACTTGTAATAAAGTTTATGGTGTGAAGCTATATTGTCTAATATCTAAACCAGATAACATGATTTAGAAAACAAAACAAAGCACTGGATGGATATGATGTCTTAACTTATTGTGTTACTATGTTTTTTACTTGGTGTTCTTCTGGGGTTCTGGAAGTGTTGCAGAGGCTATGGGGAACAAGTTGGGTGGGGAGGTATTTCTGATACAATCTCCAAGAGACTAGCAATACTGTTGGTTTTGAAAAGAGAGGAGAAATTAAACAAATGCTTTATTCTGAATATATCTCAGGAGCTTGGTATTATTTTTTCCTGAGATGAAAGATTTGCTGATATTGCTTTCTATCTTTTTTTTTTCCATAAAATTAGTTGTAAATTAACTCCTTCAGCTGGCCAAGAAATCTGCCTCTGAATGAGAGGCATTGGAAGACTTATATGTATGTTTATGTATTAGTCATGAACAGAATAGTAAATATTTTTTTAAACAATCTCTGGTTCAGTAAGAAGAATATTTTGTGGACCGTTTCAGTCCAGTGGAGAGTATGATTTACTAATGAATTTATTTTAAAAATAGTTCATAATTTCTGCTACTTCTTCCTGTTTCCTCTTATTTTTCATGGGTGCAAGCTGCGCTATACTTAGTGGAAATTAAGAGGCCTCATGTGGGCCGTTGAAGCTGGTATTTCATGTTATAGTTTCCATCTGTGCACATACACTCCCCCTCATGTTAGATGTTACTGCAGTTCAGAACCCCAAATATGACCCAACACATCCTTGAGAAAGCCTCCAGGTCCCAGTCCAGCAAACTGCTCCAAGCACTTGTTCATATTACACTGATTTGCATTCCTACATCTGAATAGACTAGATTGGGTCTTTGTTGAATTAGTCTGAGTCAACTTCACACATACAAAATTCTTATTGAAAGAGCACTGAACACTGATGAGCAATTAGCATTTATATCTCTTATTTTTCCTTCCAGGCAGAATGGGTAATAGCCGCAGTGCCTTGAAGATGATAATGGAAGAATTGCAAGATGTAGATAAAGCTATTGAATTTGCCAAGGAACAAGATGATGGAGAACTTTGGGAAGATCTCATTTTATATTCTATTGACAAACCACGTAAGTGGGATAGTTTTTGGGAAGCTTGCATATGTGGAATGCTTTTGCAAGTAAAGGATTGAATTATTCACTTGTGTTAGAGAAGGTGTTTTTATATGGTCAGGGAGGTGTTCTAGTTTGTGAAGGACAACACAGCTGTCTTACTGTGCATAAAAACTTGCAGTAAGGCAGTGTGAGGGTATGCTACACAATGAATACTTGGAGGTATAACATTGAATAAGCTCTGCATAATTATTTCCTTAATAACAAATCAAGGGGACAGTAGTGCTTTTAGTTTAGCAGAATAAGACTTCATTTTTAGGCAGCCTCAAAAGACACTCTGCAGTTTTGATGAGGATTCTGCATGCTATGTTATTACAACTGCTTCCCTTCAAGATTCTGAAAATGAAAAGCCTACACCTTTCTTCCCTCAGTAAACAACTAATTTTTTTTTCTGTTACGAAGGTAAGATGGGTAACAATGAGTGCATTTTGCCTGTCATTCACTATATGAATAGCTACTCCAAGTTAACAGGTTAGATGGGCTCAGAAACATAAGCATCATTGTTTTCAAGGAGGCAGATTCAAAGAAGTTCAAATTACTAAGAAAACAGAGAATTTTCTTAACTATCTACTCCATTAGTTTTTGCAACCTCTTCTGGGGCTTTAAGTCAAGACTGTAAAGTCTCTCTTGGGACCTCTTTTCTGGGGAATTGAGAGTCTTGGAGAATTAGTGTCAGAATATGTATCTTTTTATCCCTTGGTTGCTAATTTTGAAAGGAAGAAGTGACCAGAATCTGTTAAATCTCAAGAAGAATGGCATTCTCATACTTGAATGCATCACTAAAAGTGATGCTACAGTCAGTGACACCTTTATAGCAAAAGGGATTCAAAGCATAGAGAATTCTCTCAGTAACTCTATGTAACAGTTTCTGCCTATATGCAGATATTCCTCAGTTGTGGGGGTTGAAGAAAAAACACAGCCTTGAGTCATCATTCTAGTGTGTTTTTTAGCCAGATGCTCTTCAAAGAGCAAAAGACTTCTATCATGTCACTCTCACCAATGTTTAGAAGCAGATTGAAATCAGGTTAGGTGCTTGAAAGTTTGTTTTAAAGCCCTGGAACGGAGAATGGAATTACCACATAAAGTAGTTATTAGTTAGTAGTGAAACGCTATTTGTTTGAGTGCTCTTTTTATTGAATCAAAATGCATTATTTACTTGTGAGTTTGTGCCGGAGACTCAGTTACCACTTTGCTGAATACGCTGGAATAAGTTGCCAGACTGTATCTTCCTCACTTTCCCAAAGGCTTGTATTCAAGTAAATACAGCTGCAAGAAACATACAAAGACTGTAAAAGAGACTTAGTGTTTTCACTTAGTAGAGAACTGTCAAGTAGCTTGTCGCCAAAGTATCCTTAATCAGATATTTTGCTGGATTGTTTTTCTTAATTTCTTTGCCTCTTGGTTTTCACAGCTTTTATTACTGGTTTGTTGAACAATATTGGAACCCATGTCGATCCTATTCTTTTGATCCATCGCATTAAGGAAGGCATGGAGATTCCTAATTTGAGAGACTCGCTAGTGAAAATTCTTCAGGATTACAACTTGCAGGTAGATGTTGCATTCTTCATGGGATACTAATTTTCAGAGAGACAGCAAACAGTCTTTGTCACTGAACAGCACAAGAAATTGCTGTCATGATTTGTTCAGTCATTGGTCATGGACACTGTGGGCCAACACAAAACTATGACAGAAATAGTGGAAATTTGCCAAGGTTTCTTGATGTCTTCTAGCCCTTCTAAATATCTTCCATACCGGCATAAGCATGGTGGGTAAGTTGAACTGGTAGTATCTTGAGCGATTCAGCCTATTTTACACTGCCCAACTGTCCAGTATTGGAAAGTTTCATGACCAGTACTTCTCATTCTGTTTCACATGAATGCAGAAGCAGAATGGAGGCAGAATGCAACACGCTCTCACTGAAGCATTCATCAGGTGTTAGAGTCATATGTTAAGTGTCTTACTAATTGAAGGAAGATGAACTTTTAAAATCAAATTCATGTCAATGATGCAGAATCAGTTGGTTAGAGCATGATTCTAATAACGCCAAGTTTGTAGGTTCAATTCCTGTATTGTGGACCATTCACTTTAGAGTTGGACTCAATGCTGCTTCCAACTCAGAATATTCAGTGCCTGTGTTGCTGTTTATGCATTTTTAAAAAATTGACTGTTCACTGGATTATGGATGTTCTTACCCCAGCATAATTATACAGATACGTGCATTCCCCTGCATGGTTGGTTCTGACACGTGTTTGTAAGAACTTACAAGAAGCATACCTTTCAGTGTTCCCTGTAAGTAGCCAGCAGAGTATATTGCATTGCATATTTTAAATCTCCCTGCTACAAAAGGAGTCACAAACTTGAATTCTCTGTTATGTTGTTCTGCATCGCTGTACTGAAAAATACAGATGCCTCCAGTGTGACTATGCAGAGTCCAAGAAGACATAGCTCAGTAGGTAGCTGAAACTCTGATTTTCTGAGCCTCAAACATTTGCTCTCCATCTGCTATTAGTCTTTTTACATTTCGAGCAAATAGATGGACTCAATGGTTATGTTAAGGTCATGGCTGGTATCTTGCTAGGCCAACAAAAAACCCGTATTTCCCTTCAGTGCAGGGTTTAAGCCTTTCTAAGGCTTTTCCATTATTTTATTTTTATGTGAACTTCAGGTTATTACTTCAGCTATTTCAAAGAAGCATTTTACCTTTCTTCATCTCCCAACGCTTGTAAATAGACACATGTTTGCATATAATGCATGTTTTAACATTACTTCAGGTTTTGACTTCATCAGGTGAAGTCCAAAGTTAGTATTCTTCCAAAATGGAGGATAGCTAAATACCATGCTGCATTTCAACAGCTGCATGTTAATCTTGCTGCTGTCAGTATCAGCACTGATCCTCCTGTTCCCACATTCTCATGAAATCAAAATGTAATATTTGTTGTGTTTGCAGGTAGACTGAGAAAGTCTGTCTGAGACTGAGAAAGTATGCTGTAAGCATCGCTTCAGCTTTACTCATATACAGAGTACATTGCATGGCTTCAGACAAAGCTGATGACATCAATATGGTCATATTTTGGGGATGGAAATACAATCTTTTCTTCAAATACCTTTTAACAGAATTACTTTTGGATTAAAAGCATGTATTTAATCTTGAGAATGATATCTAAATAATTTACTGTTAGCATTAAAAATGATTCATGGATTTCATTGATTTTGAAGTAGAGTTGGGTAGCTCAAGGGCTAAAATTTAGATTTCTTAGGGATAATAAAATTAGGGAAGCTTAATATAGTTTGTGCTTGGCTTTCTTGTATGATAGAAAAAAGTATAGCCCCAAAAAAGGCAATATTTTGTTAGAGAAATGTAAGTTACAGTTTCAAATTAAGTCTGTTCCTTAAGTGTTAGTGGCAACATGAAGTACACTGTTCATGAACAGATGGTATATCTACATTGAAATTCAGAGATCTTATTGCTGGTCTTGCACAGTCACCAAAGTAGCCAATTTTGTAGAAGGACTCAAATTTTATAGAGGGACTGTTTTTGTTATTGCTGCCTCATTAGCTGTTTTAAAGCTAGTCTTCCATGTGTTTGTATGATGCCTGGTCATACCTCTGCACATTTGTGTAAGTTCATGCTGAGAAGTCACTGGCCTTTATTCTGGCCTGGCACAACTCTGGCTTTTGGTAGAATCCTCTGGATGTGTAGCGTGGAGCATACCACACATTTTGAACTCAATCAGAAGTACAAATTTCATTGGCTAGGATTTTCTGTGTCTTCATCTTTTTGGATCTCACGCTCCATATGCATATGTTTTATTGTTCACATTTTCAAAGGTAAAAAGAATCTTGTGCTGGGATCCACGAAAGAGTAGCGCAGGTGGAAAGAGAACCTGCTGCTTGACTTGCAAGTCACTGCCTAATACAAAAACTGTGCTGGTCTTTCCATAATGATGGCTTCCCAAAAGATGTTACTGCTGTACCATTATGTTGTTTAATTGTGGGCTCCTTTTGTAAGCCCTGATAAGATTTTTTTATGCCTATGTAAGCATGCAAATGCAAATTTCCTATTAAGCTCTTGAGTTTCCATACCAGTAAACTTTACTTAGGTGTGATGTGAAATACTGGTAGGAGTTAAAAGCAGTGCCTTTGACAGACTTTGTCTTTTTGAGAACAGTCCTTTCCATCTCAGCAAAACCAAGTAAATCAAACTGAGTGGCTAGTAAAGTATGTGTGACTCACAGTATGCATCAGAGAATCCAACAAGAAAGTCTACTAATGCAAATTTTGTTGCAATTTCTTTTTAATATGGACTCTTCCTTGAATAATTTTTAATAATGTTGGCAGATTGCAGACTGATGGCTTCATTTTTAAAAAATTGCCACCCACTAGATGAAATGCTGCCATTGCTCTATATGCTACTCTAAGCTCACCTCAGCTTTGTGGTTAACCTCGGAAATCTGATCACTACCAAACAACCAAGCATAGCACTAAAGCAAAATTAGATATTGTTTTGGGCAAAAATAAAACAGAGGTAATGTACGACTTTTTTTCTGCAATTCTGCCATGAGCTTAAAACTGAGCACACACCTAACTATTCCCCTAAGCAGGGAAATATTTAAGTGGGTTTTTTTAATTGGGATTAAACCTTGAAGTGTTTTTTTTATTGTTTTTTTTTACCCATGAAGAGAATTTATTTTGGTGTTTTGTCTTTGACATTGTTTGAGTTAATGTATTAAAACCATAGTACATAATCAAATGACCCTGATTGTAATGATGAAAGTTTATTTACTGCTGAAATAATGCTGATTTTAGTGTTTATATACAGTAACATTCACAAACAACAACGTTATGGAGACAAGGACAAAGTTATAGTTTTTTGAATTTTAATAGGAGCATTTATCAAATAAAATGTAGTCTGAAGCTTTTTTACTGCTTCTGAAACTTACTTTGTTGCTGTCATAAATTTATAGATAAATTAGATTGTCTTAAAGAGAAATTACACCTTCCTAGTGCTTTTTTTAAGTGCAAATGAATCACCATTCTCCAGGTTTCTAAATCATTGTATCACACATCTCCCAAAGAAGGCTGATTGTAAAATCTCCTTATTTGTAGACTTGTGAGTTAATTATAAGCCTGTTGTGCTTTCCAAATGTATAAAATAGGTGTCTTTTCAGCTTTAGTTTGTATCTGAATGAAATGTAGGAACTGCTTTTGGTATTGGAAGAGGCTTAAATACCTCCCTTGTTTTAGAAAGAAAGGCTTCATTTTTCACCCTTTCTATGTCATTTGTTAGAATAAGTCTTTGAAAGATGTTGGTTTTCTAAGACTCCTTTTCCCCTAGCTTTAAAATACAGAAGCAATTTGTTTAGATGTAGTACTTAGAGATTTTGTGGGTTAGCATTTTACACATTGACTTACTAGTTTGCACTTTGAACCTGCAGGAACTCTGATGGGTAACAGACATTGATCCATTCACAGAATTCACATCTCTCCATTCATAATAGAGTTTATGAACTAGCAGAAACCAATGATAATCCAATGAATGAATGCTTGAAACAGCACCTGGAAAAATTGTTAGGTTATATTCCTGAACATAACTAAAAATGCTGTTCAGACATATTGGAGTCACTAGAGGGCAGGTGGCAGCTTGCGCAGGGGAACATGTGCCTTTTGGCTGTAAAGAATAAAAACAATGTGTTTTTAATTGTGGCAGTGATGCTATTTGAAAGAATTTGGTTAACTGGCCTTGAGAGACTTGGACTTGTTTGTGGGTTAAGCTGAATCAAGGCCTGAATTAATTCCCATCGTTTTTTGAGTATACCCTTTCAAATTAACTCCATGCTACAGTGCTTTTCTTTAAAGATAATGTTAGGCTTGATTTACAAATGTAAATCAAGACTGTTTTGATCAAATAGAATGGTTTATGCCTAATATCTTCCCTAATATAGCCAGAAAACAAATTTTTTTTTTGCAATAACAGTTTTGTTTTTAGCAATTTTCATTAATTTAATGAAAGGCATTATTTCTGCCTAAAACTTCTTTCTGTAGGTGTATGATGCTGTCATGCTTGTGCTCACAATTACATTCTTTTAAAGGATAAATAAAATTCAGTTTCATCCTCAGTTCTGTTTCTTCTTAGAAAGTGGTTGCATCACAGATTTATGCCCAATGTCAGTTTTAACTAGTTCGACTTAACCTTAAGGTGCACAGTTACCTATTTCTCTCCCCTTTAATGAAGCTCCCTCTCTCTAGACTCAAATTCCCTTTCCTTTGCTTTCTGTAAATCTTAAATTATCAATTTTTGAGGTCTTCAAATAAATTTCTACAGAAGTGTTGAGAATGTATTACCTTGAGAATAGATATTTTACATTCTGCATTGCGATTTTTCCTTTTATGTAATAATGGCTGCCTGCTGTATTCCATTTCTAGCAAAATAAGGTCTGACGGTCATTAAAAGTGGTATGGAAAGATCTTAGTGCTGTTTAAACAATGGGAGAAAGTGTATATTTCTTAAAATATATGTTTTATCCGATATTTCTGTTACTCCTGGGCTTTTAAGGCATCAAACATTATTGAGGTTTTCCAGTGAGCTAGTGATGTCTGTTGTTTCCCTCTTCATTGTTCTTTCCTTTTAATGAATTTTTCTATTACCACACTGTATTTTAATTAAGAAATGCTGGGACATGCTTCCATCTTCCCATTGTATCTTTGTTCTGCTTCTTTCATTTAACCTGGTCACAGCACCAAGGTTATCAGAGTTCAAGAAACATTTGGACAATGTTCAGAGTCACTTGGTGTGATTCTTGGTGCTGTCCTCTACAGCGCCAGAAGTTGCACTTGACACAGTCGCATTCAGTTGTCCTTGCTAAAAGTTTCTTGTATTTTTTTCAAACCTAGCAACATTTTTCTTTGTTTAGAACAAAATTTTACATTCTTTGTTGACTTTGGATAAAGTTGTCAAGGGGAGGACATAGCCAGATTGTTCCTGAGATTATCAACAGATAATAATTATTCATTTTCTAAGTGTTTGCCTTATAGATCTGCATTTAGTTGCTGGTGCTCTGAAATGTTTTATAGCTTAATGTCTCCAATACTGGAAAAGTGTCATTCAACCATTGATATGCCCAATTTGAAATGTTCACAGTGTTACTCAGTGCTAATTTTTTTAAATGTACTTCAGATTTGCAGTCTTATCTGCGTATCATTCTTAGCAGTGTGTCCTTATTACTTCAGAATGTATATGTGAAAACGTGGAGATTTGGACAGCGTCCACCTGGCTGTAAAATCTGTTATTGTATTTCTTCTTAGGTATTTGCATTACCTGTATTTTGCACTGTCTTAGAATGCTTGGTATCTCCTGTAATGAAAATTATCTGAAGAAAGGAATGAACATTGCTTCTTCGTACCTGTATTTTAGTAGGGTTGGTCACATTATAATTAACTGTATCTTTGGGAAGCAGTTTTCAAAGGAATTGCTGTCTTGGAAAACAAATTTCCAAACATCAGATGGGGAGGAGGAAGAAAAAATTCCAAAATACTTATTTGGGTTTGTCGCCTTTCCATACTTGCTCCATTAAGTATTGTGAAATAAGGTTCTGTATAATTGTTATGCCCTTGCTTCTTCTGTGTTTCAAAACCATTTCAGACAATGGCATGTCAATCTAATGAAAAATACCATATAAGTCAAAAGAGAGTTGAGACTTTTGCTGAAGAGGAATGAACTAGGAACCTTTGGTTAGTTGCATGGACATTTAATACTGCTTATTAAATGACTCCTCAGCAGGATATATGTTTGAACAAAATGTATTTTTAATTGCAGTGTTCATGAAGGTTTTAAGATTATCAAATATCTTTTCTGAAGAAGACAGGAAAGATACAGGAAGAAGAATTTTTAAATGGTTTGGAAATTAATTCTGAGGGGCACTGTAAAAATTCCTCTCTGTTGTAATTTGTTAACACCGTCTCATAGAAAGACGTTCATAATTATGATAATAGTATCTTTGTAAAGAATACTATTTCTTGATGTTTGTTTTTGTTTTGTGAGGTTTTGGGGTTTTTTTGGTGGGCTTTTCATTGAGGTAGAGGTGTTGGCAACAAAAGGTTCCTCCTTTATAATACCTTGAAAAGTTTTAAACATTCCTTGCACTCACTTTGACAGCAAAAACAGAGTGGTGACTTGTCAAGATAGTTGATATGCCCATCTGTTCAACAACCGCTGTCCTTTGTGTTCTTTGCACCAACAGATCTTGCTACGGGAAGGTTGCAAAAAGATACTCGTTGCTGATTCTCTTTCTTTATTAAAGAAAATGCATCGAACTCAGATGAAGGGTGTTCTGGTGGATGGTGGGTACAGAGGAAACATGATGACTTTCAATATTTTAAAGACTATTTTATATCGACTGTTTATATATCTCCTGACTGTCTGCTTTGGAAGCTGCCCAAAAGCCTGCATTTTTTACCTTATCTGTAGAGTGTAGTGGGATACTAGATGCTTTTCCCCTTTGCAAAGGAACTACTTGTATCTTAAAAACTACAAGACCCATATGCAACTGTTTCTCTTGATCAATCTCTGCATAGCCAGTAATGTATTGTGTCCTGCAGTTTCTCTGTAATGGTGAAAATGCTGTTTAGTACCAACATAGACAGTCAGAAGGTAATAATCTGCAACCAAAGCAAAAGATATAGGAACATTTTCAGAAACAGTTGAAAATACTTTGCAAGGTGCTAATGATGCATGTGAGCAGCACTGTAATTCACACCAGCTGAGTGTTAATAGCAAGAGACAAATCTGACAGGACAGAGTACCAGAGCTTCTGCTCCAAAATGCTGCAGAGTTAACAGCCACCTATCCCATGCTCCCTGTTTCAGTTTGCCTTTTGTCTCTTCCGCACTGATCCTAAACGGCCTTAATCCTGCAGTTCTTCCATCATCAGATCTAAATATTTATCATGTTGTTATTAGAAGCGCTACTTCAGTATTGCTCTTCAATTTTTCATAGATTCTGTTAGGCATCTTAATTAAATGCTTTAGGACCAAGCTCCATTTATGTAATAGCAATATGTTCATGCCTGCTTTATAAAAAAGTAAATATGGAGTTTGTGAACAAAGCTTAATTTTCTTTTGTTTTGTTTTTCAGAGGAGAATATCTGTGAATCTTGTCTGTCTCCAATACTTCCTTCAGGTAGGATGCTTTTCTAGGAAAAAAAAAAAAAAAAAAAGAGGTTGTAAAGTTTTTTAGTATTATTTTAAGATAAATTGCTGTTTGCTTTTATTCATAAAAATGTGTCATCTCCTTTGGTGATTGCTGTATAAATTTCAATCACCTATGCAAAACTTGCTTTGAATTCTGACATGGGAGTGGAGTCTAATTTAACATTTTTGTTGCAGTAAAACCAGATATTCTTTCTTATTCAACTTTGACTTCCTTATTTTCTGTTTTGAATACATGGAATTCAAGGCAACTTTTAATTCCGTCAACGTACGTATTCTCAAAGTTTATTAGAACCACAAACCTAAGCCACCAAATCTTGTCCACGTCTGTTGGATTATTCACGCTGAACCTGTAGACTGTAAAATCTTATGGAATGTATTTTTGTTTGAATGGTGGGGAGTTCTTGGCTTCAGTCGTGGGTGCCACATTTGCAACATCTTAAAAGTGACTAGCTTTAGAACACCTTCTAAAGTTAGCTCTGAAAATAGAAATGCAGGATGTTATTTCAGAGATGTACATTCTTCAAGACAACTACAGTCCAGAAATATCAATGTAGTTGTTGGGTGTCTTAAAAAGAAATAGTTTTACTAAGACAATATCTGTTGTGGCCTGTTAAAGTAAGAATATTTAAAACAAAGCATATGTACAGATACAAACATATTTGTTTGTTTTCTAGGTGTTAGTAGCCTGATAGAATCACTTACAGTTCATCTGGTTTCTGCCATTTTTCACTTAAATACATAAAAACAACTATACTGGGATCATGTGCAGCAGTATACAGACAAGGAGAATCTGGCAGAGTTGAATGTGCTAGTGCTTTGAAGTGTGTGTGTAGAGAAAAAAAGAGCCAAAGTAGAATGCAAATGATGCTCGTGAGTGAGATGGTTATTCTTTAGATATGTTGTATGTAGGTTTCTAATTTGGCTAAATATTCATGCGGGAATGAAAACTCACATCATGCACCTAGGCAGCTTGTTGCCAAATTTTAGGATCATGGCGTGCAGTGCAGGCTCTAGAACTGCTCAGTGTTCTGGTTCTCTTCACACTAGTGCAAGTTTTTCTGCTAACTTTTCTTCAAAGCAGCTGCATTATTTGGTGGTAGTTTACTCTTCTCTGTTGTGGTGAACTCTCCGTGTGTGGAGACACGAGGCTTGACTCCATTTCAGAAGGCTGATTTATTATATTAAATATTATATCACATTCTATCATATCACTAAAACAATCTTAAAATATAAGAAGATGCGAAAAACTCATGCAAAGAAAGTTCATTGTTTCAAGTCCAAACAGCTGAATTTCAGGACAGAGTCCATGGACTGAAGATGTTCCTCTTTGACTTCTCTGGAAGTCCCCTTTGGTCCTGAAACAGGCTTGCAGAATTCTGAAACAAAGAACTGCTAGAGAAAACAACAAGAATTATCAAAAATTCATTGACAGTTATGAAACAATTCAGAGAAAATTCTGGAATGCCCTGGCCACAGCCCTTCATTGAACCACGGGGTCTGGACGCTGCAGCGCGGCCGCAGCCATCAAAGCCGACGGGGCCGCGGGGTCCGGTGCCTCCCGCGGGGCTGGCCGAGGCTGGATCGGGTCCGCGCCCTCCCGGAGTGGGGGGAGCGGAGAACACCGCGGCAAAGCGGGCGGAGCCGGCCCGCAAAGCGGCGGGGCCAGCTCCCCATCCCCCCCCACCAGGAGAAAGAGCGGGGGGGGAAGGCATATCCGTCTGCTCGTGCTCCAGCGGAGCGGAGGAAAACTTTTGCTCAGCCGTGGATGATGCGGGGGGGCTGGGAAGTCGCGGTTTGGCTTCGAGAGCTTTCTCTCGTGCCGTACCTGGTGGAAATGGGGCGCGACCGCGCCACCGAGCCACGAGCCCCGCAGCCTCCCTTTTCTTCAAAGCACGGAAGAGAAGTTGGGACCCCGTACACATTACGGAGGGTTTAACACCCTGGTCCTCTGTCCACTCAAAAACAGATTTCATCAAGTCCCAAAGATCTAAATCAAAGGAGTACACTACATTTGTAAAGAATCTATGAAGTTTTGCCCATCTGAAAAACGCATCACACAGTTTCTTCCACATTATTATGACAATTCCGTCCTCGTGTCCCCATCTGTGCCAGAGTTTAATAACTTTCTTCTCTGACGCAGTAAATGGAACCTGAGCTTCCGAACGTACATATTTCCAACTTTCCTCCCACCTTCTGCGAATGGCAGGATCTTCAGGAAGGGAAAAAATAAAAGTACCTTTAGACAGTGTCCTTGTGGATCCAGCTGTGCAGCTCTGCTGCTCTGTGGTCTCTGGACACAATGTCCAGGAAACTCCAACAGGTTCTTCTGTTTGCCTTGGCTGTGAACTCTGCCCATCTTCAGGGTCTCGGTTCTTCAGCTCCAGGCTGAGCTCCGTGGTCACTTCTGGGGTGACCATCAATTTCACACGTCTGGAGGTCACCAATTGTTGATGACTCTCCACGTGTGGCAGGGCGAGGCTTGACTCCATTTCAGAAGGCTGATTTATTATGTTAGATATTATATTAAAATGCTACATTAAGACTATACTAAAAGAACAGAGAGATCAGAAGACTCAACAAGAATGAACCGAACAGAATAGAATAACAAAAATCCTGTGACTGCTCACAGCCTTGGCACAGGTGGCTGTGATTGGTCATCAATGGAAAACAATCCACATGGACCAATCACAGATGCACCTGTTGCATTCCACAGCAGCAGATAGTAATTGTTTACATTTCTCTCCTGAGGCTCCTCAGCTTCTCAGGAGGGGAAAAATCCCAGCAAAGGATTTTTCATAATATCATGGCTACACTTCTCCCTGCCCAAATTTAGCATGTAGCATATATTGAGATGAAAAATTCCTGATAGGAAGGTATACAGTATCTAAGCCACAGAAAAATATTGTTTTCTAACTCCATCACTGGCACACCTTTCCTGAAACCATCACTCTTAATGGTTTCTATTAATGAGCCAGAATAATTTGGAAATTATTTTGAGAGATGTTACTTGAAGTTTCTCTGTGTATGACAGAATGTGGGCATATATTGCTGTAGCCACTAAATCATTTGTTTCATTACCCTGTTGAAATTAATGTATTTTTCTGTTTCCTAGATGCATCCAAGTCCTTCAGTGTGGTAGTATTCCACTGCAGACACATGTTTCACAGAGAGTGCCTACCTGTATCTAACACAGTAAGGAATTAGCTTAATATGTCTTGACACCTTGGCCAAAGATAAAGTGACACATTTTCTTTTGTCAGCTGTGGAGAAGGGCGTGGGTCTATGAGGAATTGTGTGATTATAGTAATAACTTGTGATGATACCACATAGTAGTATGTGACCAAGGAAAGTGAGTTTAAGGATACTGCAACTCAAGTTCATCCAATGTAGAAAGAAATCACTGCTGTTTGAACAGTATTTTGTCACTTTCTGCAATGTGAATATGTAATGCAACTCTGAGACATACAGGGAATACAGTCTGTCTAATTTTTTAATTCTTTTCCATTCCAGCTTTTGCTTTAACTAAACATACTCAAAGATGAGAATAAAGGTATTTTCTCAAGTGAACCATATTAAATTATTCTGACCTGGAGGACAAAAATCAGTTATTTCAGAGTGAATATTTAAATATCTTTGTAATCATCCTTATGGTCAAAACATTTTTTTCTGTGTAAGTTATTTGGGGGGGTTGGTTTGTTTGTTCAATTAACACAAAGCAAAAAATAACTTCTAGATATAGCAGGGTTTAAATTTAGCAACGAAAGCATTCGAATGCTAACAAAAAAAATTAAATGTAAGTCTTTAAGATTCTGTATCTATCTCTGAAAATTAACATGTAGTGAAAAAATAGCTTTAGTGAATCAGTTCATCTGTAAATAAACAAAGTTCTTGTAGCCATATGATAGAACATGAATACTTAAATATGTTAGGAAAAGCTGAATGTATTAGATCATTTGTACAACAAAGTCCAACAACTAGTAAATATTTCTTTAATATTTACCACAAATTTTATTGTGAGAAATAATCTAAAATTTGTCTAGCATTCTCAATTTTCTGGGGCAGGTAACTGATTAGGTGGGATTATTAAATATTACATAGATATTATATGATATATATTCAGTATGTATGAATACAGGGGCGTATGCATGTAACAGAGCCTAATTTCCCCTGTTACACTGTATTATGTGGCCTTAGGTTATCTGTCATGTTACTGATATTTGATTATCGGTGACATACTAAAATGTAAATAATGCATGCACACAGAGCTAAACAGAGTAACAATAAACACATCTTTGATGTCAAATGACAGTATTTGGGCCCTGATCTCAATTGTTGGAAATCTGTGGAGCACTACCCAAAGACAGAGCTGTGACTAAGGCATCCAGTGGTTATTGGAGCTGACCAAATGACTTAACTCTCATCTTTATATATGAAGATAATCAGTGATTTTTTTCACTGTGTACTTTTCATTTTTGGTGTGGAGGAAGTTTGACATTACTCTTCTGGCAGGTGGTGGTAATACCCTTGGAGTGAGAGGTGAGTTGTGCTGACCTCTGACTCCAGAACAGCCTGCCTCACTATGTTTTTCTGTATTGTGTTCCCTCACCTATCCATGACTATGTTGATTGGGAGCAGTCTGGCTGTGAGCAGTAATGTTGAGAAGGGCATTAGCACTTTTCATTCATTTTCACACATTCTGCTGTGGCTAAATTCCTCTGAGAGATTTCCTGTTTTCTTTTTTCATTTAGGTATCTTCTGTCCAGTTCTGCAATATATGCAGTGCCAAACACAGGGGGCCAGGAAGTGCAGTCCTGGAGATGAAAAAATAGCAGTGGCTTAGTTCTCCATGTCGATCAGTGACACCAAATCTGTTAGGACCATGCAGAGCCACTGTAATTTTCCATTTCTGTATATCATTTTGATTGTGATTTAAAAGTGGTTCCTGTTGTTTATCCTGTTTATTGAACATTTTGGGTAATGAGAAAATGTGAAAATCTTTGTCTGGTAAGTCTTTGTTATGCAATTCATATGTCATGGTTCCTTTGCTCAGCTTGTTACTTCATTCTGGAACAGAAAAAAAAAATAAAACTGGAAGAAAAAACCCATGCGATTTAGAGATTTGTGTTTGCTATGAGTTAATGTGCTTTACAGTTTGGAACCACATTGGGCTTATGGTTGGATATTGTAAAGAAAAATGTAATGCCATGAATTCAGCTCACCAGACTACTTCAGTCCTGATTTAGTCTATTAGGAACCTTTTTACCTTAAGACCTATAGGAGTCTGACTCCTTTCAGTGGAATTGCTTCAGAACTTGAAGTTGTGTGCCAACTCATATCTTCAGTTAACAAATTGGTTAACTGTGAATTCCATACATTGGCAATTTGCCTTGGTTACACATTCATAGTTCGTTAGAAACTAGTTAATTTCTCAATTAATCTTCACAATACAGTAGTTTAAAGTGAGCTTTTCTCATGTTCAACTCATCCAGAAACTTTATTTTTAAAAAGTCAGCAGAAGGTCTTTATGTTATTTTATGTGTGGTTGAAATGCATGGTTTCATTTAAGTGCTAGGGAAAAAAGTGTATCTGACTTTTCAAAGGTAAGATCTCTAGAAGTTTCTTCTGGCCTTAGCAATTTAACAGCTAACTTAAATAAGTCAATTGGATGTTAACAAAACTATAGATTTCATTTGAACTGCATTCTGTTTTGTTGATCCAAAGGAAGTGATCTTTGAGAATGTCTTCACAGTAATGTAATCTGTTTATAATATATCATGACTAAATTCAATATAAGCATTTTCCTTAAGAAAAGTAATCAGAACTCCCAAGCTAATTTTCTGCTTTTTAATAAATTGAGTTTGAAAGTAAAAATATATTGTTTTGCCATTAAATTGTACTGTTTGAACAGGCTAACATACTAACATACTAAGTTCTAAAACAATGGTATATCCTGCAGTCTGTCTGTAAAACTGGAAAATACAGTACCTCTAATACAACACCTTCTTCTATAACTTATTCCCATGTAAGTACACCTTAAAATAATTTCTACTGTGGAAACTTGTATTTCAAGTTTATGAATATTCATATTCTTTTAAAATCCTCTGGGCAATTGGTCTAGCAATCTGAAGAATGATTTTTTTGTTGTCCACTGATCTGTATAATACTGGAATAAAAATTTATGTGTTTAGAAATGCTAGGATTCACTCTGCATGATTACATAGGCAAAGCAATCGTTAAAAGAATAGATCTTCTCAAAACCATACTAATCTTTTGTGTCAACACAGTAGAGGAAAAAAATTAAAAATTGTGCAAATTATTAATGAACATAGATTAGGTGGAATAACAGAAGGGTAGGAAGTTTGTAGTGCAGAGAATAGTCTGCATACATCAAGCTTCACACATAAGAATTTGTGCCTGGCTTTGCAGTTGTTCATTTTCAGTGACTAGTACATGTTCTCAGGTATATTGTTCCTTTATGTATTCTTCACTACACTGATCACAAAAGGTGCTTTGATTCCTAGTAAATTAAATGTTCCAATGACCTCAAGGGTTGTTTCACCATGATGTTTGAGTTATTGCATGCCATATCTGTAAAAGTTTAAAAACTTTTTAAGCCCCTCTTTTTCAGTAGCTTTAAACAGCTTTTCTGTGTTCTATCCTAATAATGCAATAATCTGTCAGCTTACAGGAGGAAAAAGTCAAACTGCTTCTATACCTGTATATGGAAAAGTGTCCTCTAAATTAGTGTTGTATGATAATTTCAAGAAGGTATATTTTTTTACTTCAGCTTGGCCTTAAATTCCCTAAAGCATTTGAGCATTCTGTGACTCAGTTTGCTAGTCTGCCATCATCAGCAATCATACTGCATTATAGCCTGGCATATTCTTTGCATTATGCAAATGATTTTAAATCACTGTATGAAAATCTAATCAAAATCTTCTCTAAGTCCAAAGCTTCTTTCATTTGGGCTTCAGGGACTACCCTTTTCATGTTCCTGAAGTCTAAATTTGCTCATTAAGATTCAGCAGGAAATGTACAGACTTGACTTTGATACACTCTTCTTCCTAAGAAGCCTTTACATCATAAAAAATGTCTGGTTTTAGAGTCTAAAATATTTATATATCCAGGAGCTTTTCTTCTGAAAAGAATTTTGTGTAAGAGATAGCTGTAAAGTTGCAGAGCCTATCAGGAAAGTACAGAGTAGCACTTAATCAGTTTCAACTGCACTCACTTCAGATGCCGAAGTTCTTGTCCTTCTAAGGTAAACTTAAAATAAACTTAAAAGCTGGTTTTTCTCTGATACATCCAGTTCTGTGTGAGTTCTTGACAATAAAGGTAACTCAAAGGATCAAGGAAGTATAAATTGGTTTGTCATATCAAAAGAGAGAAAACTATTTTGGCTTGTAAGCAGGACATCTCAGCCCCCCACAAGAATTTATGTTGTTAACCAGTCAGATAACTTAAACAGGACAAGCTTGTCTTGTATAGAGTTATTTTCATGCCTTAGGGTTAATATTGGTCTCCCAACTACCAAAAAACATCTTGCTATTGAAGTGAGATCTAGCAAGATGGATTTCTGAATGACAGACACTCACTTTACAAACTACAAAAGCCACACCAAACTTTCCTGAAGCAGAAATCTTCTATACATTTTCATTGAAATGTATGGCGCTTTCGCCATGAGTAGGGATGCCTGCTTTGCAGTTACTTTCCAGGGGTTAAGTGAGGGAATGTGTGTACATTACTGTCATTTCAGTGGTAAATTACATTTGACTCCTATCAATACTATTTATTTTGGTAGCTTTACTATAGGTACCTTCATATAGTGCAGCATTCTATGTTATGCTCTAATCTACTAGTAGTTCTTTATTTTTATACTTTGTAGTAAGTAATTTTGATCAAGATCTTTATCTGTTATCTCTTGTCTGTTTAATAAATAATTCATTTTTATAAATAGACCTTGATCTGCCATGCTTAGAACTTGCCAAAGTGATTTCTTAAATTTAAACTGTTGTCAAAATCTGAGCCTAAGGCAGGCTTGTTTAAAGCTCCCACTCATCTTGTGACAGGCTAAAGTGAGTCTTCAGATGATTTTTCTCATCTGTCCTTGTTTTATAATTTTAAAGCCCCAATGCTGTTTGATAGGCTTGGTGAAAATGTTGGGCTACACTGAAGATTTTGGGGGGGGCCAAGAGAGTGGGGAGCTAGAGGTGCCTGCTAAGCATGAGGCTATTTAGTCCTGCTGAGAGCTCATTTAAAATGGACATCATCATGATAAAGATTGACTTCTACAAAAGGAGGAATTAATTGTTCTACTGGATCAGCGATGTATTGAATCAACTGTGTGTGACAGTTGGGCAAAAGTCTGCTGCCCACCATGACATGATTCAGTGGGTCAGTTAATACTTCAAGAAGTTGTTCTATAGACAAAGGTATGTTTTCTAAAGCTACAGTACAGGAAACCTTGAACACATTGGGTATTGTGTGTTGGAAGATGAATAAGTTCAGTTTTTGACACTGATCTTGCATTACAGAACAAGAACAAAGACAAAATGAGTTGCTTCCCCATTTTTGGATGCATGTCATATTCCATATGGTATCATATTCCATACATTTTGGCTGATAATTGGGTGGAGGTTGTCAGTATTCTGTATAGAGTGCACAGGTTGGTCTAGCAAATTTTCATCATAGGAAATGTAGTCACTTTCCATCTTAGGCTTAATGTTTATTCAGCTGGAGTCTTTTAAGCAGGCACTGTTCTATTTTTTGCTATTGAGTAGACTACCACAGTGGTTTTCTGCTTGCTGAGTAGAGTTCCTGACTGTAATTCAAGGGAGCTGGAATTGCAAATAATCTTTTGAATAAAAACGTCACAGTGGATTTCCTGCTTATGAAATGATGTGTGTCACTCTCATATTTTCTGAAAAATCCCCTTGCCCAGGATTTTCTCCTAGGAAGCTGAGAAGCCTCAGCTTCTCCTCTGTTTTGCTGCTTTGGAATGTGGTTTTGGAGATTGTTTGTCCAACATGTGAATTGTTTTAACTTAATGGCCAATCACAGCCAGCTGTGTCGGACTCTGAGGAGTCAGTCACAAGTTTTCTTTATCATTCTTTCTAGCCTTCTGTCTCTATCCATTCTCTACCTTTAGTATAGTTTTAGTGTAGCATTTTTTAATAATATAATATCATAATATAATAAATTAGCCTTCTAAGAATATAGAGTCAGATTCAATCATTCTTCCTCTGTCCAGGGACCCCAGAAACTACCACAGATGTGATTTAGCATTCAAGTACTGTATGTCTGCAGTCACCTTGGAAATACAGTGCCATCTCTGCAGGCTGGTTGCACTGGTCCTTGCCTATGCTATTTGACAGCAGTTTGGAAAACGACTAGCAGAAAAATTCTTACCTAATGCTGAACAAGGGTGATTATCTGAATGAGGAAAAATCTCTCTGAGAAGCTAGTTTCCCATCTCCTGTTGTACAGTTCTGGCCTTTTATTCAGGCAGTATAACTTTTACCCCTGTTTGTAAATGCTAGACATAACATCAGGGTCTCTTCCTCTCTGGAAAGCTTCCCTCCCGAATGCATCTTTGCCAAATACTTGCTGTAAATCAACTGTTGTACTTTCAAAATAACTTAAACAAGACTAGTAAGAAAATAAGTACCTCATGCAGAGAATGACTCTATAATTATATACTTTTGGCACTGTCTACTTATTCTGCTGCGCCATGGAATATTAATTTACTTTTAGAATTAGAAATATCCATAGGTTATGTTTTTTCTGTTCTTCAAGACAATGTGTGCTTTCTTTTACTGTAATCAAATATTAAATTATACAGAAAATGAGACATCTGAAGTGTCTGAGGCATCAAATGTAGAAGAGAATAGTGTGTGAGAAGTTCTAAGAAAAGTTAATGAGTCATAGTGGGAATGACTAAATTTAGCCTTTAAAACCTTCCATAAATGGGAAATCATAATAAGTTTTTGCAGTAGAGCAGGTCTTAGGGGTTCTGGTAAGTTCTGACTGCATCATTCGCCCAGGTGAATGGACAAGGCTTCCAGTGGCACCTGCTCCTGGATTGTGCTTAGGTCCAGTCATGGTGCAGGAGTCAGA